ATTTAAAAACTTCAAGTTGTGTGCACTCTGATTAATAATTACGCTTCCAGGACTTCATCCTGAGGAAGTAATAATGGATACACAAAGGTTATTCTACAAAGATTTTCATAGTAGTGAAAAATTAGAAACAACCTAAATATCTAACAATTTGAGATAAGTTAATAAATAAAAAAAGTCCATCTGTCTGAGAGAATATTATATCGTTAAAATGAGAGGGAAGAGAAATATGTCTAGTTTTTCTGCATCTGCGATATTCACATGTGCTATATACTCCTATTAGTGACTTTCCTTAATAACCACAGAAATGGGGCAAAAGAGACGAGATGTAAAGATGTGTTTATATTCTTTGGAGAATGAAAAGGTTACACATCCGTCAGATAGCAAAGAAGACAGACCAAGAAGAACCAGGATGACCATGTAGTATGGACAAGTCAAGAACAGGGAGGGCTGAGTGACTCAGCATTGAGATGCGTTTCCTGGAGTTCTAGCACAATGGTGTCCCAGGTATCCCACTGGAGGGATTAAAATGTCATTGGGTGCACAATGGAAAAGCCAAGTAGAAATTACTTATTTTTTGTTCAGATGCTTGACATTAAAAAGTACAGATGAGACTGTGAGACTTACAGAATAGACAGGATTTTTTTTTTTTTTTTTTTTTTTTAAGGAATAAGGTAAGCTGATCATGTTTGAAGGGCATGCCACTGAGTGCTTTATACCTGTGATCACATTTAATCCTTAAGAAAACTCAAAGGTGAAGCTATTTCTTTTCCCATTTTTGAGATGAAACCTCTGATGCTTATAAAGTTTATTTACCCATCACAGAGCTAGCAAACTGCAGAACCAGGATTTGAATTTTGACTCCTAATCTAACCACGATGCCCAGGAGTAAAACTGGAGCTAAACTGCAAGAGCTAAAGAAACAATGTGGTATACTAAAATCTGCGAGGAGAGAGTCCCACGAAAGGGATGAGGAGGTACAGCCTCAATTCAGAAATTCCGTAAAGGGGAAAGAACCTTGTCAAACGTCGCCATGCAGCCTGCTGCAGTCGTGGTTGATGCAGTTGATACGACCAAGGCAGGGGAGTTTGGGTCCGGTGTGTTTGATGACAGAGCTGCCCTCCTGTAGAGCTGGCTCACTTCCAGCTTTTCTCCGAATTGTCCCCTTTCATTGTGTAGTAATTCCCAGTCCAGGGCGTCTGAAAATCACTTTATGCTCTCTCTGGATGCCCTGAGCTGTCTGGTGCTAGTACACTTCAGAATTAAACTGAATCTCCTCCTTCATCATATTTTTAATATCCATAAGTCAAAGTTTGTGGGACATTTTGGGGGCTTAGGAGAGGGGAGCTCAGTTGTTACATTGCAGTAATTTGTATTCCTCAGTTCATTCCTACTTAACAGAGAGCCATCGATCCACCGTCCACTCAATTTATGCATTCATTCATTAGACATTTATTGCATGTTTCTTCTGTTAGAGGCCTAAGTGCCAAGGATATCAAGATTAAAAGACAAACATCTCTAGGGGCAGGATGGTAATTGAAGAGCAGGCAGGGCTGTGGAAGGATTGAATATTCTTAAAGATGAGGGACACTTGAGGATGTGGGTTGGCTGAGTAAGAATAATGAAGAGCAAAGAACGAAGGGAAGGGACTGCCAAACCACGCTGAAGAAGAGCTAGGGAAAGGATGCCGTCTTCTGACACCAAGAAGGGATGTGGCATCCAGCAGTTGGTACGTATAAAGACACCTGCAGGAGGTCACAGTGAGTGGCTGCCATTTCCTCTGTGATGGAGGCAGGGTCACTTGCAGAGTCTGCTGGTCTGGGAGTTAACTGTGAAGTCTGAAGGTTTGGAACAGCTCCCTGGTGGATGAGTAGAGGCCCTTAAGGAGACGGCTGAGCATCATGGATAACCTAACTGTGACAGAAACGTAACTTTCTAACAAGGCCAGTTAACAGAGTTATGCGATTACTTTCTGCCAGCACTTAATTGTTAATATACCCATTAAGTCACTGGAGAAGCCCCTCTGACTGATTTTTCTACTGTCCTAACTAGAAGGACGTTTGTCTGTAAGAGCTAAAATCCTTGAGTTGGAGCTTCCCCATCATAATTGAACGTATTCCAGACCGATACAGGGGATACAGGAGACACAGTCATGGATCCTGCTGTGACCTGCTAGTGAGACAATCTGGGTGGCCCCTTGCACAGACCTGGGGTGGGTTGTCATCTCTGAAGGAGAGGAAGTCAGAGTGTCTCTTCTCCTCAGAACACCTGCCACCTTTACTGTGCAGTGATTTAGGTTTCAGGCTAACAAGTTTTCCCTCGTTCGTGCCTTCTCTGTCAAGATTCTTGCTGGCAAGTAACAGAAGTGAGCTCTAATTTAAGCAGTCGGGGAGTTTACCAGAAGAATGTTAGCTCACAGATTTCTGAAAGGACTGGGCGGACACGCCGGGAGATGGGGTAGCGAGAAGCGGTGCTCCGAGCCCCACGGCAGAGCCAGCGTGAGAGGGAAAGCGGGGCCATGCCGCCCGGGGCCCAGAGCGACTGCTGGCGCCGTGGACGGACCTGCAGTCGTCCCCAAAGGCTCCTGCCACAACCTCTGCCATCTCTCAAAATGGCCTTCGCGCTCCCAACCACCCCGGAATAGTTTCTGCTTGGCCAGACGTCTTTGCATTGCTAGCTTCTGACGCAGAGTGCAGAGTGGGTGGGCTGACTAATACGGCCTAGCTCAGGTGCCAGTTACTGAACTTCATGGGAGACGAGGAACGGGGGTGTTCGGGTTTTTATCTGTCATGGATGTGGGTTCTGGCAGGAGTTGAAATGTAGGGTGGCCATAAAGAATGACAAATGTCCATTTCAGTGCCATGAAACACATGAATTAATGTTTTAGCCCTTCTGCGTTGGGAAACTCCTCAGTTACTAGACACTGTGTTTCTCTGTAGTTCCTCTATGGTAGACAATTTTAAATTCTTTGAATCATCAGCACTTTGTGGGATGCTCTCCGACAGTGTTTGTAGAATGAATTAACTTGTTGAATATATTCTTTCAGCAACCATGCCTTGGGCGTATACTCTGTGCCAACTCTGTTGAACATGACTTGCAGGATTAACAATGCTTTTCTACAATAGCAAAGAAAGGAGCAATCAGGAACAAGGAGTGGGCTACTCTGCAGGAACCAAGATAGGAGAAGTAGGATCTAGTGAAGAAATTCTGCCTCGGTATGAAGCAGGATGAGTCTGAATCAGCTTTCCACGTTGAGGCTGGGGATGTGGTGGACCAGGGGTGAAAATGTGGCAGGGCGAACGGCAGAGATGCCAGGGGTGCGAGGCAGGCAGGGTGGACAGTCGCCTGCTGGGAGCAGAGCGGGCCAGCTGCATCTCCCGCTCTCACGGTCACCGGATTGGGCATCTCTAGGCAGGCTGCTTACTTATTCACAGGGGAGCTGTAGTACGTGCTGGTTTTTCTCTAAGTGACTCTTGTATGCTCATATTGTAGCAAGCGATTAAATCTGTTATTTGCAAAGCTCTAATACACTGGCATGTTGTAAGAACTATATAACCATTTATTAAATATATAAAAATAAAGTATATAAAAATAAAGCCGTGTTCTGTTTCTGATAATTCCATAAAATGTTGGGGATTCCTCTTGGACTCACATTTGGCCAAATGCCAGGTGCATTCTCTTCACCTTTTACTGTCACCCTTTTTCATACGGCATCTGCTTTGCATTCATTAGGTGCTTTGCATGTCCTGGGCGCTGCCTGGAGCACAGCCGGCAGATCATGACTGCTGTTCCCTGGGCCAAGTGGCCTGGCCGCCAGGCTCACTGGTTACCTTGTCCTTGGCTCAGTAATTTTTCTCCAGCTTAGCAGTTAAAGTTAAAAATAAATTTTTTAATTTAGATTTTTCAGTTTTCCTCAGTGGGAGTATTAGTCCAATTTACTTCCTTTGATTACTAGAGATGGAAGTTCTCATTTATATGCTTTATGTAGTTGAAGTCATATAATCCTCATGAGAACCTCAAAAGAAAACTGGTAAGATTGTCTCCATTCTACAGATGAGAAGAATGAGGCAATAGAGTAGTTCATTTCCTGCCAGGGGTCAGAGAGCTGACAAGTAATGGCCCCAGAATTTGAACACAGGAAGGCTGTTTTCAGAGCTTTGTGTGTTTAACCCCTGTATCCACTCATTTTCTCCTTCTTGTAAAGCAGTCTAACTATTCCATCATCAAAAGCATTCTTTTAAAAGATCAAACAAGTCTCTACCTTTACATGCTTCCCCTACAACTTAGGACACAGTTTGCTAAAACTCTAGCCAAGTGCATAATTTAATGTCAAAAAATACAGTACATATCCTGTATCTTTTCAAATGGCCATGTAACATGGGCAAATGTATCATCAATTAATTGTTCTCTATTTTTGTAGACTTACATGTTTTTTGCAGCTTCAAAAACATTTCACTCTTGCAGAGAGCAAAATTCCTTTGCTTTGCCAAAATTTTCTGTGTTGTTTTATTGAATTTGGTCGAGGCATACAGAGATGAAATACTCATATCCAAAATGAACCATTTGAATGTCTGGCATGGAAATAAAATTTTAAAAATTTAGGATGTCAGCTCTGGGATATAACTGGTACATGACATCCGAGGATGGTACTAAAAATGTGTGCAAAACCTCTTATAAGCCAAAAAGAGGCCCTTGGGGTTGTGCCCAAATTAGAGACGTGTATGTACCTCAAATGCCTGCAAATCCACGGGGATGACCAAGCGCTTTCCAGAGCGCTAAGCAGTAATACAGGTGTCCTCCACGGCACTCCGTCTGAGGGACCGGCTCCCGCTGGTCACCAGCAGCCAGGTGCCTCCATTGCCTCTGTGCCACATTGAGCAAATGTCTCCCTTCATCAGGTTCAAACTGGTTTGTTGTTTATATTTTCTTTGGAGGGGACAGGGGGAACCTTTTCTGCCCTTGGTAAAACTAAAGGCCTAACGTTTTCTCATTTCTTTTGACAGAGAAAAAGAAGAGCATATGAATCTAACCTCATCCAAGATGGCCTGCAGCTAGAAGCAACGAGATCCGTAAGTGGCCGTCCCTTTTCAGCCCTTGGCTGACCATGGCTCTTGGGAACCTGAATGCCACTTGGAGTGCTGGAATGGCATTTAAGTGCAGCCCCAGCCACGCCTTCGTTGCAGGCTGGGAGGGGTCAGTCATTACCTGCGTTATGGAATGTATTTGCTCCTGATCAAAGCCAGCAGACCTTTTTTGTAGCTAAAGAATGAAACAATAGATTATTTTCTTCTTTTAAGAATCTTTTTAAAGATTTCTCTTATTATACAAGTAATAGTTTACAAAAAAAAAATAGAAAGTGTAGGAATAGTGAAAATAAAAATTACCTGTATCTTAATTTTCTATAAATAAACTTGTAGTCCTTCTAAACTTTTTTGCTCAAATTTATACAGTTTCTCTTCCAAAAAGGGAAATTATTATATCAACGAGATTTAATTTGCTTTTTTCTTTAATATACCATAAATGCATTTCTATATTAATAAACATTCTTTGGCATCCTTATAATGACCACATAACATGATATTGAACAGATATATACTAAATTAAACTTTCCTAGGTTTAAGAAATTTAAAAATTGTTATTACAATAACATTGCAATGAATATTCTGGTGTTTTTATTTTTACTCACTAATTTGGATGGAGTGGTGGACAAATTACCAAGTTTTACTTTCCTTCATTTAAAATATTAGTAATTTCATGAAAGAACTGTGATAAGAATTTAAATTACTTTCTTAGTAATTCAAACCAAGAAATTATCTCTAACACAAAAAGTTTATGATGGTTATGATGGTTATGATTTTTTTATGATTGTATCTTCACTTTTACTCATATCTGTGTGTGTGTTTGTGTACACAAGTGTTTTAACTACCAGCAACATAAGAAAAATCTATGTGTCTTAAAATTGTGAAAATAGTTGGTTTGGCTTCCTAGATTGTGTTTTTATTCTTCCGATATAGGTCTTGGATGACAGGCTTGTATTTCTAAAGGTACATGCCCCGTGGGAGGTGCTATGTACATATGCTGAGATAATGCACATCAAACTGCCTCTGAAACCCAGCGATCTGAAAACCCGGTCTTCAGCTTTCGGGAATTTCAACTGGTTTACGAAAGTCCTCCAAGTGGATGAAAGTATCATCAAGCCAGAGCAAGAGTTTTTCACTGCCCCATTTGAGAAGAACCGGATGAACGATTTTTATATTCATGATAGAGATACCTTCTTTAATCCAGCCACCAGAAGCCGCATTGTAAGCCTAAACAAAATTTAGTTGCTGTCTTGGGGTGATCTGCAACCTGCTGTTGAAAAATTAGTAGTTTGGTTTGGTTGGCTTAGTTTATATTTTAGAAACTGCCACACACAGAAAAGAAATATGCCTACAGATTCTTGGTATAATAGTAAACAGTGATTGGCTAGTTAATACTGTATAAATCATACACTCTATGTTGGAATCCTTTTAGGTTTACTTCATCCTCTCTCGGGTCAAGTATCAAGTAAGCAACAACGTTAAGAAGTTTGGGATTAACAGACTCGTAAGCTCGGGGATCTACAAGGCAGCTTTCCCTCTCCATGATGTAAGTCAGATAGCAAAAATGAAATAAAATGCCTAATGTATATTCCAGTGTTAGTAGGGAAGAGCTAATCTTGACCTCACTTAAATTTCTTTCTTGGTAAAATGAAGATAATATGTCAGATTACAAGCTTTATCCAGAATAGGAACCAGGTTGCATTGTTCACTGCTAAATCTTGTGTAGAAAGAAGGTCCTCAGTATAAATGAGTGAGTGAGTGAATGAATGAACAAACAGTTAAGTTCCCTCATAGTTAATGTGTTAAGCAGTGTAGATCAGTAGTTAAGAATGTGAGCTCTGGAGCCAAAATACCTGCTCAACCATTTCCTAGCTGATAACCTTGCGAAAGTCATTTAGTCTTTCCTTTCTTCAATTTCTTCATCAATAAAATGGGAATAATAATAATAGTTTGTTATTATTAACTATTCATAATAGTTATGAATAGTTAATAATAAAAAGGTAATAATAAATATCATTAATTATTAATAATCAATTATTTAAATTATATTATACAATATATAATTTATAAATATATATTTATATTTAAATATAAATATATTTTAAATATTACAAATTAATATATAATTTATAAGTATATAATAATTATATAATTATTAATGAATATATTAATAATAAAGATTAACTCTGAGTTAATCCTCAGAGTTGCCTTGAGGATTAATTAATCCATGTCAAATATTAGAACAGTTCCTGGCATGTAGTAAGTACTGTGTATATGTTAGCTATTTTTATAATTACCAGCAGATGTTATCATCAACCAGAAAAGTATTCGTTCTCTGTAAGCAAAAGTAACATGTCAGAACTTTTCATTTATCACTTTCTAGTACATAGGTTTGTTTATTTCCCGCTGAAATACCATTTCAAATTGGGCCCTGGAGTATCACAGGACTTTTAGAAAGACATCTGGCTGGGTTCCTATCATAATGGTGGTGTGGCAGGGTGTTGACATTTTTTAAGGACTACGTTCTGAGATGGTAGCAACTCCTCAAATTCAAGAACATTTCTCTAGCTGATAATGTCTCCCATGAAATGAAAATTTTTAAATGTGACTGCTTCAGACCCTTAGTGATTCCATACACTCAAGGAAATGATATCTAAGCACTTTAAATAAATTCTGCCAGTGAAATAAGTGAATTGCTATATTATATTGTACTGTTACTTTGTTACATTCACCATCAACTTATCTGAGTCTCTAAGACCAAAGAAAGCAAACACTGAGACTGATAATTGCTACTATGTAGTACATGTATTTGTGGATGAAGACAATATTGAAATGTACCATATAAGTTAGTAAAACTAGGACACTAAACAGCTACTTGATATACATGCACACATAGAAAGCAGAGAGAAGGGTAGAGAAGCAGATGCTGAGCTTCCTGGCTAAGAGACCCAACACAGCAGTCTAGCCATGTGTTTTATATTTGTGCCCCAGCAAAATTAGCAATAATGACATAACATGAACTTTGGGGACACTTGCAGAGAGCTCTCATAAATATAATCTGGGATACCAAGGTACTATAGTATTCGGCTGGCATCTGACTATACCTGTTCTTTTTTTTAAGCTTCTTGGACTTGCAGAGGTGCCCTATCCAGGCTAAAGAATGATCTCATGTGGAATTTGGAAGGGAGGTGAACAGAGGTCAGGGCCCATGTTAAAGCTTAGCTGGGTGATAATCAGGTTCTAGCTACAGGAAGAAGGAAAACTGGTCAGGTAGAAAGAAGAGTTACTGAATTTAAGCAGAGGCAGGAAGTTTTGTTTCTTGGATAAACTAAGTGTCTATAACATGACATCAAACTTCTTTGTTACTTGCATTCCACACATTGTCATGAATAACTGTTGAAGGGAGGAAAAAGAAGTCTGGGCTTTAGAAGCCCTGCATCCTCTGGGTGTCCAAGGAGTAGACAGTACTATCCGGTGTCTCCCCATTATGGCAGCTTTGGCCCTTGAGTGGCTCTTGAGTTTTTCATTGTTTAGGACTGACCCGCAGGTGGCACATTAGCATATCCGAGGCTCCCACCAAGTACCTGCTGCCTTTGATTGTAACAGCCAAGCATTCCTCCCCACCCACATTTGCAAATAGCCCTCAAGGGGTTAGTAGTACCTGTGGTTGAGAATCAGTAAAAATCCTGTGGTATTCCTATCCGCATTAGCAAATAAGTCCCTTTATTCACAAATGACTGTGAAGTGTTAGCACCGCACTTAATAAACAGATTTGCAAACACGTGGTGATTGTGACGCTCACTTGTTTGACTTTGTTTCCCAGTGCAACTTCAGCCAGCCGTCGGAGGACCCCAGCTGCCCGAATGAGCGGTATCTTCTGTATAGGGAATGGGCTCATCCTCGGAGCATATACAAAAAGCAGCCCTTGGATCTTATCAGGTAAGGCAGAGATTTTCAACAGGTGTGCCATAAGATTTTTAAAACATGCATTACCTGACGATTTAGTCAGGGTCACTGACCTCTTTTCCCTTAGATTGTCAAATAAAAAATGACAGCAGTCAACACAACAAAACCATACATTATGAATGCCCTGTCTTGAACCTTAAATATTGTATGGGTCATATAATAGAATTGCATAGTTGATCACGTGGCATGATAAGATTGCATTTGATTGATTAACTCTTGGTACCAGAAATCCTTATATACAAGAATAGGCACCTGATTTTTTAAAAAGTTACTTTGGAGCAAAAAGGGTAAATATTATCATTTTATTTTTGTAAATCTAAATTATAGCTCTTTTTATCAGATCGGCAAAAAATGTAATATATTTTTGGGTGCTGCAGAGTTTTGATAATTAGTTTGTGTGTGCCAGGAGATGGCAAAGGTGGACAATCACTGAAGTAAGGTGTGGACTCAGGGTTGCGCTCGTGACATCAAAGCGTGGCAATACCCAGCGGACTGCCAGTCAGGCGAGCTCACCTGGGCCTCTGAGCTTCGTTGTTCAGAGTTTTTACTATGGCTTTATTTATTACGGCTTTATTACGCAGGCATGCTTGATGAGTCCTCGCCCACGTGGCTCAATCTCCAGCCCCTCTCTCTCCGCGGAGGTTGGACCGGTATCACAGGGCTCATAGCCTCAATCTTCTGCTCACAGGGCTGGTCCCTCTGGCATATGGCTGGTCCCCTTCCTGAGTCACATCGTTAGCACAGACTCTCCACAGGGTCACCCTGAATAACAAAGGTACTCCTGTCTCAGAAAATTCCAAGGGTTTAGAGGTTACCTCTGAGGATCTGGAAATAAAGACCCACCGCTGTTGTTAGGGACTGTTTTACTGTATCACAGAAACATAATGTCTAGCTCAACATTTGTTTTCTCAAAGCACCAGTGTCATCTGATCTCCAGAAGCTAATGTCGCAGGGGAAAGACTGCTGGAAAGAGATAGACCAAAGACAGACAAGCAAACAAATAAAAATAAGCAAACAAACACAGTTTCTGGTTGAAATGAAAATAGCAGTGACGAGATGGAGGAGGGTGGTGTGGGGGAGTAAAGTTATCTTTAAGGAAATGACATTCGAGCTGAGACCCAGATAGTAAAAAGGATCCAGGACGTTGCAGAATTAGAAGTCATTTGGGGAATAGGGGCAGCTTGTACAGTCGCCCCGGGGCACAAACACAGTTGTGAAGTTTAAGGAAGCACCAAAGGTCAGTGCTAGGGAGAAAGAGAAGAATCAGATACAAGTTTAGTAGGGTAGCAGGAGCAGGGAAAGGAGTTTAGACTGAGTGCCGTTGTGATATTTTAAGCATTCAAGCCATTTTATCTTCTTCACATTTTGCAAAGATAGTGAGGAGAGTGCAGGGGTCACAGGAAGCAGGGAGACCAGGGAGGAGGCAACAGAGTGGGCCCAACGAGAGATCGCGGGAACAGCTTTAAAACTTTTTTTAGGAGTAGGGTTAATAGGACTTGGTGAAAGATTGGATGTTGAGGGTGAGGAGAACAGGAGAGTGACAGTATAAAACACTAAACAATTGTTCTTTTGTGGTATTTTACATTTTATTATGAGAAATTTCAAACATGAAAAAGCAGAGGAGTAGAGCAAACCTGCATCTGTGCTGTCACGCGGCTCCAAACCTTTCAAACTCAGAGCCGGTCTTGTTCATCTTTATCTCTATTACCTCCCCCGCCACACACGATTATTTTGGAGAAAATTCCAAATATTATATCATTTCATAAGTAACACGAGAAGATCTCTTTTAAATATAACCAGAATATGCTGTGGCTTCTGTTGCTCAGTGGATTGAGTGCATGTCTGCAAACCAAAGGGTCCCTGGTTTGATTCCCAGTCAGGGCACAGGCCTGGGTTGTGGGCCAGGTGCCCAGTAGGGGTGCACTCATTGGTGTTTTTCTCCCTCTTTTTCTCCCTCCCTTCCCCTCTCTCTAAAAATAAATAAATAATATTTTAAATAAATAAATAGAACCAGAATACTCTTTAATCAGTGTTCACAGTTCCCTGCCACACAAAATATTTCTTAATAGTTTTTTGATTCAAAAAAACTTTTGATTCTACTGACCCAAACTAAGTGATGTGAATCGGTCTAGAAAGTATCAACAACAGCAACAGTCACCTAACTAGTCTTTTCATTATTTTCTCCTTATCCCTAAACTTTTGAGGGGTTTGGGGTTTTTTTGTTTGTTTGTTTTGTTTTGTTTTGTTTTTTGCCTAACTATATTTATCTTCCTTTCGGGAACAATCTCCCTATACCCAGCCTTACTTCTTCCAGTCTTACCTACCCAGCCTCTTCCATTTTTTCCCAGAGCACCCTGTCGATCAGTTTCTAAAACTTGGGGGGGGGGGGCATCAAAGTGCTAGATGGAAGGAGTGCAGGGTGGTGGATTTCTCAGTCTTGTCCGTCCTGACCCGTTCCACTTTCACAATGAGTTTTATAAATGTTTTGATCGGAAGAAGCACATTCCACTACTAATTATATCAGTTTATTGTTATTACTTGTGATTTACATTTCATTTGCTCCATGATGTTCCCTAGATAAGTGAAAACAAGTAACTGAGCAGATTGTTCATGTTCACTTGTTTTATGCATATTAAGAATCATCTTTCGGAGAATGTGTCAAATGTGCTGGTCTACAAAGAATGATGCTGATTCTCTCTCTCTCTCTCTCTCTCTCTCTCTCCCCTTCGTATTCTGCATTTTTCCTTCCTTTGCTCTATTCTGATTTTCTTTGCTTTAACAGGCTAACCAGTGATTAGGATTTCCATGATATGTAAAATACTTTTTGGTGTATAATGGAATTTTGGGTCTGCTATGAGCAAAAGTAGGTTTTAAGTGTGAATTGAGTCTGAGTTTAAGCTCACTGGCTTCTCTATTTAAAATCAGAAATTGATATTCAGATGAAGCTGCAGAGTGATTATTTGTGTCTTCTAAAAATAATTTCTGTCTTTCTTCAGGAAATACTATGGAGAGAAGATCGGAATCTATTTTGCTTGGCTGGGATTTTACACTCAGATGCTCCTCCTGGCAGCAGTAGTAGGCGTGGCTTGCTTTCTCTATGGCTTTGTTAATCGAAATAACTGCACGTGGAGGTAACCGCTGCTTATTCCTTATTACCGCACTGAAAGTTGATGAGACATAAAATTTTTCTCCGGATCTTAGACTTTTTACTAAAAGAAGATTCATTGCAGCACACTTGTTTTGGATGATGCGTCCCTTCTGTTCTGCGTATATTAATTAAGTGGAGTGGAAAATTTTTTCTTAGATAATGCAGCCCAGTCTCTGTCAGGATTATTATCCTTAGGAAACACTTCAATATTTTAAGACAATACTTTGTTTGATAAAGAACAGAGGTCTGGAGGGAGAATCATCCTTGGGCCTCTGGCCTCCAGAGGGATGCTTTACTTAGCCCCGCAGATGAGGATCAGGAGCAGCTGTTTTCTTCAAAGTTTCAATGGAAAAACTGGGAAAATTGGTGTGTTTATGCATTTAGAAATGATTTCTTACTGTGTATTAAGAAAGATGTTTAAAAACTTAAATAAACAATACTTTCATGTTTTACTTTTTAAAAAAAATAGCCCTTACAAAGTGAGAGGGAAAAAATAAGCACTAAAGAAGCAGTTTGTGCTTGATGTTGGGATGCCAATACCAGCTGCACTGTCTGAAGAGAAGCACGCGGGTGCCAGGGCTCCGAATTTTGCTGTCACTGTTCTGGATTAGTTACCATGCCGCTGTCATTGCCGCAGCCTTATTTATGAAATGCCATTTCTCACCTTACTGATGTGCTGGGCCAGCCCTCTCGCAAGTCAGTTTTAGTATATGTATATGTCGCTTTCTGAACTCTTTATTTTGTTATCTGGGTCAGTTTTTCTTTTTTAGAAGTGTCTTGAATCTTCGGAGCCCTTTGGTCTTCTAACTGAATTTACAGCTCAGGTGGGGGAGAAATGACATCTTTAGATACCGATTCTTCCAAATTATGAACATAATAACGTATCCACTTATATAGGGTTCACTGTATGTATTTCACTCTTTCAGACCATTTTTATAATTTTCTTTCTGTAAATCTTATACGCCTAGTTAGATTTACTCTTGGGCTCTTTATATTTTTTTAAGCTATTGAAAAATTGTATTAAAAAATTAATTCCTAATTGTTGCAGGTCTAGGGATACAATTCCTTTTGCGGCCTTAGGTATATTTTGTATATTAATTTTATGTCCCTCAAACTCACTTATTCTTATAACTTATCTGCAGGTTCTATTAAATTGCTTATATTGCTTATATAGGCAATCATGTAATCTGTTATAATTAACAGGTTTTTTTCCTTCCTTACCAATCCTCCTGTCTTGGTTTTTCTTGACTTACCATGCGGTGAGCGACCTACACTGAGAAGAAATGATAGAAAGACCCATCATCTTGTTCCCAATCTAAGGAAATACTGTCAGCATTTTACCATTAAGGAAAATGTTTTTAAATAGGCTTTATGTAGCAAGCCTTTATCAGTCAGGGTGATGCAGTTCATTTCCATTTCTAGTTTTATAAAAATTTAGTTATGTTTTCGTATGATAAATGGATGTTGGATTTTATCATCTGGCTAGAAAGTTCTACTCATTAAATTTTAAAAATTAAAATTTTCTTTTTTCTCTAGCAAAGAAGTGTGTGATCCTAATATTGGTGGCAAGATCATAATGTGTCCTCAGTGTGATTATTGTCAATTCTGGAAACTCAATATTACTTGCGAGTCCTCACAGGTAATTTTTGTTATTCTAACCTGTTCCAAGTAATGAAAAAAAATTTTTTTTCTAATAATTTTAGTATAACATAGAAATTATTTTTTTCCTCTGAGGAATTCAAAAAGGTAATTTTGAACTAACCTTTCATTCTGAAAGGTAGGTATGGAATGCATGTGTTTATTCTTCTTTTACAGATACTAAATTGAGATTAAAAGCCTTCTCAAAAATATCCAGGAGTCAATGAGGAACTGTGGAACTGAAAGCATTTGAGTGTTTTAAGTAATCAAAGCAGAAATCTCAACTCATAAGATTTCCTTATCTCATGAATACTTTTTAATAGGTTTACTATTATAAGTATTTTCCTTAATTCAAATGAGTGGAAACCTGAAATTTGTACTTGTGTTTTTCCACTTTAAAGTGTGCTGGAACTATGTTGGGATTCTTAAAGATTCCTGGTCAGATTTAGACTATATCTGTAAATATGCATGAAAAGGTTTTGTATATAATATAAATGACCCCAGATACTTTGTCTTAAAACATTCCCACAAAGCACATCTGGTTCCCCTGAGACATGCAGAGGGTCTTGAGGTATATGACTTCTCAAAATCCGGGAAATTTAGGACGGGCATTGAGACTGAAAGGAGCTTACTGAAAGGTATGCCAGAAACTCCAGATAGGAGCAAAGATGCTCGGCTTGCTTTGGAGAGTTTTCCTGACGATGCTAACACATTATCTTCCTTCTTGTGTGTGATCCTTCCTCTCTTCCCTTGTTCTGCCATGAAAGTTTAGGAATCCTTATGAGACCTCAGAATATTTTGACCACTCCCCCTAAGTCTAATTTTAACTGAATGCCTGACTATTGTAGTGATTTCACTTTATATTTTATACTTTGCAAAGCCTTGCACTTACCACTTTTGACACACACAGCAACTCTGAGATAGAACAGGTATTATGTTTATTTTACAGATTAAAACACAGGAGATCTGAGAGAGTAAATGTTTTGCTCAAGGCCACCCACCTGTTAACCAACAAAGCCATAAACTGACAGCAGATCTACATGTCTTGCCATCACCCTGTTCCTCAGCAGCTGACAGTAGTACCAGACTTCACTCTCGAATTGAGTCTGTGTTTGAAAAATTATTCCACTGCATAATTAGGATGATTGTAGGGTATTGTCAACACATGGATTTTTACACTTAATTTATGAATTAGAATAGATTTCATTGCCCATCCCCCAAGCCAGCACCAATTCTAGACTACAAATCCCTGTCTTAGATAACACAAAATAGAAGACTTGACGCGAGTAAGAGAGAAGCTGCGTTCCAGCGATGTTAACTCGTGAAGGTCAGGAGTGAGCGTGTATTCCAGGCTCCAGGTTGAAGGCAGATGTCAACTATGATACCAGAGGCAAATTGTGCTCCACAAAGTGTGACTGTAAATCCCATTTTCCTTAAGAAATTTTCTTTTCACACACCCCACCCCCATCTCTTCTCTCATTTTTTCTGCTCCACCTACTCATCCTTAAACACATGACTTTCAAATATGTCCCCTGTGTACATACTTTTTCCTTGTTTTGGAGAAAATGAGTCATTCTATTCCAGTTTCCTGAAGGATCCCTTGTGCCTGTCAGAGTGATTTATAAAGGGAAGGAAATATATTAAAAATGAGTAAAAGAGTGGAATAAAAAATAAGTGTAGAAAGAGAGCCTTTTTATGCTTCTCTTTGTTGGTTAATTCAATTATATCTTTATTTATACATTTACTTATATATTTATTTCTACCTCTCTTTTAGAAAGAAATGGAGTATTAACTAATGGACATGTATGCTAAAAGGGTTAACAGATTACAAATAGAAATATAAAATCAGGATCAAGGAAATGAAGAAACAGTCATGGAAATAATCAGTATTAATATTTTGTGTGTGTGATTGAGCACTGAATAAAGTTCTTAGCTTTTTAGCTGGCAAGATAAAAGGGAAACATGGTAAATTATAATATTTTGTCCTTAGGAATACATTAAGCTATAACATTTTGATTTTGCAGGAAGAAAAATAGTCACTTTTCTAGATTCTGATTGGTTCCTCTTTTAAAATTATCAGGCCTGCGTACACAGCTCTCTCTGTTTTTCCCACTCCACATGACTAGAACAGAACGCTGACTTGGGGCTGCCCTTCACATAGCTGGCCTCCCTCCCGGTGCCGTCTCCCAAGCAGGAGAAGCCAGCTTCTTACCAAGAAAGCCCTTTTCTTACCTTCTCCCCTGCTTCCTGCTTCCATGTCACTACAGGTCACATAGAGCAATGACGCCAGCAATCTCATGTTCTTTCTCGGGTCCTTGATTCTCCGCTGTGTGGCAAAGATGGTAACTCTATCCCAGCCACCTAACTCCCTCTCGTGGGAGTGCAAGGCACATTCCCTGTCTTGAACCAGGCAGCTGGTATGATCATGGCATCAGTCATACACCTGCTTTTTCTAGCTTCTATTTTTTTTCGCCCTCACACTCAGATGTGTTTCCACAGGCTTTTTTCCCAGCATGGTAGGGTGAAGAATTCATAGAATTTTTTTCTTTGTAAAGTGGGTAGGTAGAGGTGTCAAGGCAGGTAGGTAGGTATCAGATAGAAAGAAGTGTGCATTGATTCCTAAAAGAGAAACAACATTGGCCACAATTTTCAATAACAGTGTGATAACACACAAAACTATTTTTTATAAAACTTATAATAATTTTCAATAAGGGATAAGGCATAACATTAAAAAAACAACTTGGGGAAGATGGTTCTATAAGAGTCAAAGCTAAAAGATTTGAAACATGTGGTGCGTGGAATCCCAGGGCCAAAGAAGCAGGCAGAGAGCTTTTTTCACTGAGGCATGTGCTCATTTATCGTCTCCCTTGTGGAGGAGTTGTTGGGAGGAATGACTGGATGGCCGCAACTGGGGATTGTCATTTCTGACCACGGGCTACATGGATGATGGAGGGGACATCTGCCCTGGAAAAGAGATGTATGAGTAGAGGGTTAGGTGGATAATCTCTCGTGAAAAGGATGTTTTTACGATGATGAAAGTTGAGCCACTTAACAGCAGTATAAAGGGAAACCCAAAAAGTTACCTAAAACAAAGTAGAGTTCCTTAGAAGCCACTTATAATTTTCTTTAGCATTTGAAAATCTTACTCTTTGGTTTTGCTTTGTTTTCCTGTAGCTTCTTTTTTCTACCCTATTGTCTACTTTTCATATGATCTATCATGAAGTCAATATGATATACGTTTGCTACTGTTTCCATTAACCTTCCAGATATTTTTAGGAGATGTTAAATAAAAGCTCACTAATGAAAAAATTAGTAACTAACTGAACAATTTTCCAGGAATTCATAGAGGGAGATGAGCTATTTATATACTAGCAAAAAATGAAACTTAGAAGAACAGGTGAATAGAGCCTTCTTTGTGCAGGTGTGGCATTTATTCATTCATGGCCATTGTACCCTTTGCAATGTCAGCAAAGCTCCTGAGCATCCTTAGTCTCATGGAAGCCTCTGTCAGTGAGGGTAGAAAAGCTGGTTTGAGGAAACAGAGCTCTTCTGCGGGACAGCCACTCAGAATAAGCCAGCTCTGTACTGCTCTTGTCAGGAAAGGCAGGAATTCAGGAACTTATCCTCTGACCAGGGTGGGATAATGATAAGATGCAAATCATTATCTAAAAGTTGCTTGGCGCTCATTGTATTCTTAGGACCATACTACTTCCTCAAATTCTTTTTATGACAGCTTATAGATGAGGCCATTATTCAAAAGCCCAGGAGAGGCTTTAAACAGAGTGGAATCTTAGCAGCTATGCCTGCTGCTTTACCATGGTATGGAAAGACTCCATTACCAAATGCACTTGTAAATACAGCAAAGGCTGTTTGCCTCCAAAAAAAAATGAGAAATTCAATTTATAAGTATTTAGTAAACATAGTGCCTATTAAGCGAGGTATCAGCTTTAAAAAGAAATTCAGATGGTACCATACAGAAAGCATTGAATAGTTGATGCATTCTAGTAAGTGGAGAACAGGATTAATTTCTATATCATTGTTGTATTTTTCAGAAATTGTGCATCTTTGACAGTTTTGGAACCTTAGTCTTTGCAGTATTTATGGGGATATGGGGTAAGTTTCTCTTTTTTTTCCCCAGTTTACTTTTGCCTCCTAACATTAAAAAACCCCATAAGATCATACAAGCTCCTGGATTAGGAGCATTATACAGTTTTCTATAGGCTATCAAAGTAACCCACTCTTAGGAGCTCGGATTTCCCAATCTTCAGCTCCCCTAGAATTCCATTTAGACCTCTTAAAGGCCATTGTGTCAGCTACTGGATAAGAGGCTTCCTCAAAATGTAGTAGCTTAAGACACACATTTATTATTCTCATGGTTCTCTGGGCCGGCTGGGAGGTTCCTTGGGGGGGGGGCTGGCTCAGCTGATTTCTGTGTGGAGCCAGCAGCTCTACTGGGCCAGGCTGGTTGGTGTGAGGGGCTCAGCCGGGACAGCACATCATGCCCCATGCTGTCTCTTGCCCTCCACTTAGCCAGGTTCTTCACATGGCAGTTTTAGGGTTCTAAAAGGGGGAAAGAGAGGACAAGCCTTAATGCATACACATTTTTTAAGCCTGTGGTTGCACCAAGTTTGTAAATGTCCCATCAGCCAATGCAAGTCATGGCCAAGCCAACAACAATGCGAGGAGGTATTGGCTTGGATGGAGGGAGGCATGATGGAGCCATTATTGTAACAGCCTCTCAGCTGTGGGTTTGGGGTTCTGGGGAACCAACACTGGGATTATAGGTAAGCTTCTTTATAAATTTCTATATGAGTGTGTATTTAATAAGTATGTGCTACTCTTAAAATAATATTATCACATCCTATTTAATAAGTTGAACAAATACAATCCTAAAGAACAATTTTATATAGGAGCTCTAACATATTCATGTATTTACTTTGAATAGCATTATTAACGAGGCAATTATCTTTAAATGCAGACTGTTACGTGTTTAATTGATGTAAATATTCTGTCATAGAAGAAAGAATGTCATTTTCAACAGTAAACACATTTCCAATCTCACTGTGTAAGTCAGTGGAAAATAGAGTTCAGGTTATAGATTGGCGGGGGAAGAAACAATCAAGTCTCTTATTCCTAAGACAACGCTTGAACACGTGTATCTCACAGAAGCAGTTCTCTACAGGTGTCCTTGGCAATGTTTCCCTGTTGCATGGCTGTGCCTACTATGAAGGGTCACCAAACGGATCTCAGAACAGACAGTTGTTTGAATACTTTTTAGAGATACTAGCTACCACTCCTGGATTCACTAGACTATTAAGGTGGCCAAACTTATCTAAAAGTTACATTGTCATGCAGACACTTAGCACGTTTTTGCTGAAAACCAAACACTGGCCAATATTTGATGCATAGAAGAATAAAGATCAAGTTCATGTATTAAGATTCTCTGTACTCTCCACTGTAAAATACATTATTGTTTTCCCCCAATAACAGTACAGGTGTCAAATCCATGGGCGGTGTGTAGTTTTAACTCCTGTCTACACCTTAGTCTTAGCACTGATTCAAAATATACAAAATTCTGACACATCTATTGAACTCCTTGTACTAGTGGATGCTGATGCCCTAATTTAAAGAGACATTTTAAGTAAAGCAATATATATATTTATACATATATATATTTCTATATAAATACATACATTTTGGCACTAGAAAGACAAACCTCAGATTTCCTAGCTACCCTTGGTTTCCATGATCATTAACTACACCATGTTTATATAACAGACATAAGCATATTGAGCTACTGATTTTATTTCATCAGATTTTCATAGAATGCTCTGCTTGTAGCACCATATGCGTATCTCTAAGGATATGTCTATATGAGGAAGTCTTAATTTAAGTGCCTTATATTGCTTTTCTTCTTACCTTTGCCTTATGAGGATACTGCTGTGAACCTCTTTACAGAAAACCTGAAATTGTAGAATTGAAGAGGCAGGAGGATCCTGTGAAGTTTTTCATATCACTGTCCTCATAGTCCTGTGCGTCTTTCTTGTGCCCAGATGTATGTGGCACTTAGAGTGTTGTATACTTAGTGTGGCACCTAGGAGTTACACAAGTTGAGGGTAGAAAACCTTTCATAATAGAGTACAGATCATATATTTATCTTCACCCTTGTAGGCCAGGCCAGTCGACCCATTCATACTGACTCACAGAGTCCTGAACACCAATCCAAGGTTGAATTCAAGGTTCCTAACACTTTTCCCGCTCCCCATTTTTGGTTGCTTCTTATCTGCTTCTATCTGATTCTCCCTGGCTCCAGGCTCTTGGCTGCATGACTGCAATTTTTCTTTTTCACCTTTGAGTTCTAGTCGAGGCCTAGTGATTTCCAGAAAATCTCTGGACACCTGGCTTATAAGGGTCCAGGGAATTGAGAAGCCATGACCCTAACTAGCTGTTCTTTTGGGGGTCAGGAAATGGTCGTAGCAGCTGAGTTCCAGAGCTGTGCTGCTCCTGCCGGGTCAACATCAGCAAAATGACACAGCTCCCACAACCACCTTTGCTTGTGTTCAACTGTTTCTTACTTAAGTGACTCAAATGCATGTAATGGGCATTTTAAAAATTTCATCTGGAACTCTAGCTGCAGGAGAGTCTGTGAGAAATAGTTTTCACCTGGCAGCCTTTCAGTTAGGTAGTTGCAATATACGCTAAGCAAGCTCCTGTACCTTATCTACCTTTGTGAGTAAAGTAGTCTGAATAGTTCCAAGGCCTTGTAAAATCTCCCAGCCCTTCAGCAGCAAACTTTTTTAACTTTCTTTAATTTGAAAAAATTTTCAATGACAGTTGATAAACAGTATTATATTAGTTTCAGGTGTACAACACAGTGATTAGACATTTATTTAAATTATGCAGTCGTTCTGGCTTGTGTGGCTCAGTGGATTGAGCGCTGGCCTGCAAACCAAAGGGGAGCCAGTTCAATTCTCAGTCAGGACACACACCTGGGTTGCAGGCCCAGTCCCTCGTAGGGGGTGTGTGAGAGGCAACCACAGATTGATGTTTCTCTCTCTTTCTCCCTTCCTTCTCCTCTCTAAAAATAAATAAATAAATCTTAAATACCCCCCACAAAGTATGCAGTGATCACCCCATCTGACACCATACTTAATTGACTATATTCCCTTCATCAGCAAATTCTTCTAGCAGCCAGAACATTCCCATCTACCAAGGGTATGCCTCTTGTCCTCACATATTGCTGGGTGTAACACCACCAACGCTTTAGTGATCTGAACACCGCATTTCTTCATGGGCATCTTTTTCATCTGACGCATATTTTATCTAAAGGTAATAACATCAAGATTAAGAGGACGAGCTGTTCATGGTTCCCAAGGTCCTAGGCAGCCTTCTCTCTTCTCATGTTATTTGTTGATGTAAGAGTCCAAACCATGCCTCTAATCACCTGGAGTTTCATGGTGTATGTTTTGCCAGAGAACATAAGTGCAGTGCCTCCCACCAGTGTTCTGCCAGTTGTTTTACTGCAGGGAGAAAGCAAAAGATACAAATGAGGAGATTCCCCTGTGACATTATGCATGGCCACCTCAGGTCCTGGTGCTCTCAGCTGGGGACACACAGTAGTGTGAGTCAGCAGGGCCGTGGCCCAGGAGTACTACAGAACGCTGGGTTGTTATACCAGGTTACCGCTGTCTTCCATGGACCCTGCAAATCTGTGGCTGTGTGAAATGAAGAACTAAGAAACTCCCACCCGTTCCTGCAACTCTCCAGGTTTTTGCCTTCAAGGTTCAGGGTTTGCCAACAACCCACTGTTTTTCATGAGGTCATTGTTTGCTTGCACGGCAGCCTTGTCACCTTCTATGAAGAACTCCTAACGTTCAGGATCTGGTAAACAGCAGCCTTTTTACTCCTTACATTCAAGTTCAGGGAGGATAAGGAACAGTATCCACTCTTCCTTCATTGTGCTGATTAGAATTTTTTATGTTGCTCTTTGTAAGAAAGGTAAGTTTCCTTTTTGGAAATCATCTCCTGTTGATACCATTGCTAGATAGTGAGTAAATGGATGGCTATTATACTCCCATTTCAGAGATGAGGAAGATGACATTCCGGGAGATAAAGCAAATTATTCTAATCCCCCAAGGCAGAAAGTGACAAGCACAGAATAAGAGCTCTGCAAATAATTTGGCTGTCATCAGCGTTTACATCAGTGACAAAATACAGCGTATGTAATGAAGTTGTGGGAAACTTTTAGAAAGATGCATAAATATTTACATGATTGATATAATAGCACTATTTTGTCTGGGGCTTTGAATAATAGAAATGGGTAGAAACTTGATTCCATATCTTTGATTCTTCCTCACCTGACACAGGTATAACAGGAGAATGCACCAGACTTCCAGCTTCATTTTACCAGCCTTATGAGATAAGATAGGCTCACGTCATTCATGCCTGGCTCTAGGTGTCAAAGTGAGGAGTTTAATGTTTTAATGACAATTCAGTTATATGAATTGAGTTATAAGTTCATGTAGATAAGCTGCTCTTTTCATAAAATGAAGAGTAACTTTCTTTACTTTGCAGTGAAGGGAATTGGGAATTTTCTCCATTTTTGAAAAGAGAAATTAAAAAACATCTGCATTTTTAATAGATTAAAACTGCAAAATTTAGAGGAATTACAGTAACACTAGGAAGATATTTAGAGTGGCTTTTTAGAGGACTTTTTCCAGTAGGCAGTGTTCATAAAGAGGCCATAATGGGGCACTGTCTTCCCACCTGTAGTTGCTTCCCTTGGGTTGGACGGGGCCTGCTTTTCCACCGGTGTGTGGTCATAGTGCTCTGAGTGAGTTGTGAGGATGGACAGAACACGTGATGATTCCTTCAGTCTGTCTGCCCTGAAATCCTCCCAGCAGTCAAGGGGCCAGAGCCACCTTGACCTCGCCCATCAGCTGTCACATTCTCTACGGTTTGTTCTCCACTGTTTGTTCTCCACCGCAGCTTATCCAGACCTGTTGCTGGATAAGGTGAACTGAGGACCCAGGTGGACTAGTAGAGCAGAGGAGGATGGAGAGGGATGGTCATGCATAGAGAGGAGCAGCTGGAGCCATCTGGGCCCTCTGAGTGCATGTCCATCCTTCAGGGGTCCCAGGTGGTGGGGGGGTCCTCCAGTTTCTGGATTGGCTCCTTACCGTTCATTCATTCAGCTAATATTTATTCTGTGCCTGCTATGTGCTATGCTTCAGAGTGAACAAAACAAGGTCCCTGCCCTCAGGAAGGTGGCGTTTTGAGCACCTGATAAACAATAAACGTAGAAGCGAACGTGGGGCAGGATCACGAGTGCTCCCTGTTTTGAAGCACGGAAGTCGAGGTCGGTGTAGGGAATAAAGTGTGCTCTTTTTGAGAGAAGGTACACTATCATGGATGGATTCTCTAGTTCAGATGGGAGACAGAGTTGAGAGAACATGCAATCCTGGCGGTAGAATTCTCAAGTAAATGAAAAGGTAGGAGTCTCCTACTTGATGGGGGTGCATGGGTGTTTATTGAGGAGATGTTAGCCTAGTGGACTCTGGTAAATGGGTGGCACATACTGTGCTGCTTCCGATCAAGCCCAGGCAGGGTTGGCTCATGGGTGCCCCACTAACGGTGTCTTTTGGCAGTTTCTGCCACATGAGGCCAGTATGGATAGGGTAGGAAGCAGGACCAGCTAGTCACACCTTGGTCCACAGACTTACCTAGTGCCCTCGAGACTTTCATCCCATTAATACCTCATTTCTTCCTGTTTGGAGACAAGGACACAGATGGCTGGGCAGTTTCTCAGTGGTGGAGGCATCAGTCAACAGTGTGGGCCCCTTGCCTTGACTTTGACCTTAGATAGATGCGACGGCAGGGCAGCTGAGTTACTGAGATGTGGACACCACACTTCCGTTCCCACACAGAGGTCTGTTTTTGAAAGTTCTGTTCAGGGAGCATGGATACCGTCTTACCCACAAACAAGGAACAGGTTCTTTCAGGCTGGGGATTAAGTAGTAAGTCAGATCACACATGCTCAGGAGAAAGAGGACCTTCCTGAGAGCAGGAGCAGCCAAATCAGTCCTGCTGTCCGGGGTCTGACAGGTAAACCAGCTCAATTTCTCTCACAAACTATTCACTTACAGGATTTGGAGCATTTGAGTAACCTGGGAGTGTCAGGAAATTAATACCCAAGGGCTTTCTAGATTTCACCCTCCAATGTTAACTCGTCCAGTGTAGCTGTTGTGCAAGGAGATGGAATTTGGTGGACTCCCGGGCCATTGCCTGTACTCCCTGATGGGGCCAGTGGATTACGAGGTGAACTACATCTTGGTGGCTGGGAAACTGGAGGCATCATTCCTATTTAAAGAGGCTAGGAGACCTTACATAACTCCCGCCCTGGGCTTCAAAGTTTCATAAGGGAAACGAGCTTCCTTCCAGCTCCCTAGCCAAGTAGGAGGCACGAAATGGTCTTCCCTACTGACTGAGCTCTCTGCTTCCATTAACAATAGCACAGAGCGTGAAAAGCTGGGCCGCCACCTCCATTCCCTTGTAAACCTTCCAGTAGCCACAGTAGTGGCCGCGAGGGTTGGCGTGTCCATGGAGGCCCTGTGTGGGAACAGGACAGGTAACTGGCAGTATGCCCCAGAGGTGGGCTCGAGTCAGAAGCTGGAAAAGCAAGCAGTGATGACGCCTAAGCAAAGAATGGGTGCCATGCCCTGATCCATGCAGCTTAGTGGGTTGGGCACCCTCCCAGAAACCGAAATGTCGCCGGTTCGATTCTCAGTCAGGGCACGTGCCTGGTTTGAAGGCCAGGTTCCTGGTTGGGGGCGTGTGAGAGGCAGCCCGCTAATGTTTCTCTGCATCTCTTTCTCCCTCCCTTACTCTCTCTCTAAAAATAAATAAATAAAATCTTTTAAAAATTGTTTTAAAAGAGTAAGTGCCGCCCAGAGGCAAAGGGAGGCAGGTTGTGGAGCGGGAGAGATGAGGAGCAGAGCTTGGGCTCTGGAGCCAAAAATGCCCGGGCTTGATTCCTGACTCCAACACAGCAATCTCAGGCAACTAGTTGACCTTTCTGTGCCTCTGCTTCTTGTCTGAAATGGGGATAGCTCCAGCAATCCCCAGAGACCTCAGAGGGCTCTGAAGGCCTTTACAGGTCTTGTGTCAGCAGGTTCACAATGGCCTGTAAGGTAGGTTCTGTTTCCCCCAATTTACAGAGCACATGCAAAGTCCTGCCACCTCGCCCCCTGGCTGCCCCACCCTGCCCACCTTGCTGTGCGCTCGCCTCTAGACCAGCTGCCGTTTCTGGGAAGTACCTGGCTCTATCTGTCTCCTTGCCTTTGCACGCGCAGCTCCCTGAGGGAAATGACCTTAACCTATTCAGCTCTAAGTCCTCTCAAAACTCACCATCATGGTCCCCTCCCCTGGGTGAGCCATGCTTACAAGTTCCAGCTCTGTGTGCCCAGAGCAACCTGCGCTTACCTTCCTCAGAGACCTCTTCGTAGTCTGCTGAAACTATCACTTCACTCTAGTCCCTGTACACCTAGGAGCCCCTTGGGATAGAGATTGTGTCTTTTTTCTCTGCTCAGCACATAGACACGCAAAAAATATTTATGGATGGAAGAGTGGTAACTCCAGAATTTCTATACAGGAAGGGCTTAGCGGTAGCAGTCCGGAAGAGGAGTTGGGGGCAGGCACCCTGAAACCACATTTTCAGTGAACATTTCATGTTGCCTTTATTTAGCATTTTAAGATTAGTATTTAGTATTATAAGATTTAGTTACAAATCTTAAAAAGTAATGAAGATTTTGAAAAACTATTTTATGCACGATAAAGAAAAATATCAGGTTTCTGTATTTAAGAATTTTATTTTGTTTTAAAGATAAACAGGATAGACAACCTTTTTCTTAAGATTTCATTTATTTATTTTTAGAGAAAGGGGAAGGGAGGGAGAAACATCAATGTGTGGTTGCCTCTCGCATGCCCCTCACTGGGGACCTGGCCCACAGCCCAGGCATGTGCCCTGGCTGGGAATCCAACCGGCGACCCTTTGGTTTGCAGGCCAGCACTCAATTCACTGAGCCACACCAGTCAGGCCAAGAATATTATTTTAATTTGGGGTGGCTTAGGCGATGGTATATAGAGATTTGAGACTTCCTAAAGCATCCTTCCCCCCTTGCAGGCCCTTAGGAGGGAGAGGGGCATGAGGGAGAGCAGCCTGAAGGATGGACCTGGACTGCTTTGGACTATATTAGATATTTGTGTTGCCTACTTGGCAATAAAGTGCTAGTAGCAGGTACTTTAGCCTTAGACAAACTCACACACCTTCTGATCATCACATTATTACCTTTCCCATCAGCTATAGTTCATTTTCTTATGTTGAATTATCAATGTTTCCTAAAACAAAGAGCATTAACTTGTTTTTTTTCTTTTAAATATTAATGTAGCCTATAAACTAGATTCTATTGATCATATACAGAAGTGTTCTGGATAATTAGTATTATTTCATACTGATTTCTGAAACATCGATCATCATTGAAGACCTACATGATCCTGTTCTCTTTCTTTGTTAGTTACCTTGTTTTTGGAGTTTTGGAAGCGGCGCCAGGCAGAACTTGAGTATGAATGGGACACTGTTGAGTTACAGCAGGAAGAACAACCCCGGCCAGAATACGAGGCACGGTGCACTCATGTGGTGACAAATGAGATTACTCAGGTAAGGAGAATGTTACTACTAGATTCAGGGGTTACTTACTGTAGGGATTCTCGGCCTTGGCTGCACATTGGGATCCCTGGGGACCTTGGAAAGTGTTGATGCCAGGGTCCCATCACTACATATTCTGACAGTGCTTGGTAGCCTGTGACGTATTCTGGGCACAGGGAGTTTTTACAGCTCCCTGGTAATTCTAATGTACACCCAAGGTAAAGAGGTTGTGCTGAGGACAGTGGACATGGGAGGTAAATGTAGTCCCTCCTTTCATAAGAGTAGTAAAAATGAAAAACAAAATCTACTCTGACATAAATGTACAGTAAGTCCTCACTTGATATCATCGATAGGTTCTGGAACTTTAAGCAAAATAATGTGTAATGAAACTAATTCTACCGTAGGCTAATTGGTTCCTATATCATCTCACCACTGTTAAAACAAAATGACATTGAACAAAACGATGTTATTGAGGACCTGTTATGTAAGAAAAAGTTGCATTGGTTTGTGTAAAACATGCACCAAAAAATACTGTGTGACATAAATGTACAAGGAAAGATGCATAGGTTGTTACAGTTGTTCCTCAGTTTTTCTCATGCACCTTCATTATTTCAGCCCCTTTCATCCTAGACTTAGCCGCCTCTTTGTCTTGCACTAAAGCCTCAGTCACTGCTCCCCCTACTGGTTGGGATGTGAACTATGGTTCTTATTCTAAAGAAGGGGGCGGGAGGGTGCGGGGGACTGATGGAGAAGGAAAACATTTGTTCAGGTCCAACTATGTTCAGTCATTGTGGGAGGCATTTTATTATAATTGGAAAGGTAAATTTGCTACTGCGGCTGCAAAATTAAAAAACAAACAACAGTATACATCTCTCTGTATAAGTATTCCAGAGCCAATGAAAGATGATTTTTGAATTATTTGCATTATTCTTTCCTTCAGCACAGAAAATTTGGAGCTGATTGTACTTGCAGTCAGCAGCATAAGGACAGTAGCTTCTGAATATGAATAACTCTTGGGGACAAAATGCTTTTACCAAGAGCATCTGAAAATGTCCTCAACTCTAGATTTTATAAATTGAATCACAGATTTACAAAATGTCAGCACTAAAAAGGGACTGGAGGGAGCAGTTCCACCTCCTCATTTTATAAGTGGGAAAAAGATGAGGTTCAGTTATTAGAAGGTGACATTTTTGAGAACTGAAGAACAAAAGCTTATGTTGGCAACATAAGGAAGATACTGAAGAAAAAACAATATGGTGATTTGTATCTGCCAGTCTTAAATTTAAGATTGCCAACTAATCGGTTTAAATGTCCACTGAAACACTGCTTGTTTAAAAGATTAAAGATGAAAGTTCATTTGATTTTATCTTTCCCATTTTTATTTGTTGCTAACAATCTTCCATGGGTTTAGAGAGGCATACAATGCGATGGTCGAGTCTTACCAATGAGGCTGCCTGCATTCAAATCCAAACACAGCAACTTAATAGCTGAGTGATTCTGGACAAATTATTTAACTTCTCTGTGCCATTGTTTCCTCGAGTATAACATGGAAACAAATATAGTTGCTTCTTCATATGATTGTGTTAAGGATTAATCTACTTAATGTATAAAACCAACTTAGAATAGTACCTGGCATAGAGTAAACTGTACGAAGGATTTGCAGCTATTATTATACTATGATTGCTCTTATGATCCAGGTAAATCTCGAGAAGTATTGCTTTCTTCTCTTAAAATTTTAAACACAGTGATATAAAGTATAAAGTAAAAACTTTAAAAGTTCAGCTACAACAAATGAATGTGTAAAGCTCAACCAAGAAATGTCTGCTAGATACCTAGTGTGTGCAGGCATCTGTGGAACGTTTTGTCTTGCGTCAGCTCTGTGCTTATTATTGCAGCCTTTCAGCCTGGCATTGTCAGATACCTGACTCCTGAGCTCAGGTCAGGGTGGATAAATCATTATTCATACTTGCATTTTCAAAACATATTATTAAAATGAACACTGTGCATTTTTTTTGTATGTATGTTTGAAATGGTTAACAAAAAATACCGTGCAATTATGAGTAAGGAAGATATGTTTGAAAACTAATTTTTAGAGAAATTATCTTAAGCCTGGGAGTTAGTGACTGATCAAGAGAAAAATCATTTCATTGGAGGAATCCCTCAATTGTCTAAAATTCTTCTTTTTTTTTTTAATCAGGAACAAGAGCGTGTTCCCTTTACTACGTGGGGGAAATGTATACGTGTAGTCCTGTGTACAAGTGCTGTCTTGTTCTGGGTAAGAGTTTTTCACAAAATTTAATATTGAATATTAAATGTTGAGGGAACTAAAAGCTGAGCTGGAAGCTACGTGACCTCACTTGTTTAAATCAGATCAGTGGTTCAGGATTTTTCCGTTTCTGGTGCAGAAACCAAATTGGAGACATTAGAAGTCAGTAGTAACAACTAAAACTGTCTAGGAATAGTCTTAACAGAAAAAGAAAAAAGGAACTACCAAAGAAAAGGTGTAAAAACTACTGAAAGTTGTAAAAGAAGCCTTAAATGATTCTAGACAGAAGTCAATATTGCTAAAATATTTGAATTTACAATATTAATTTTGAGTATATTATTAATAAAGTCATATTAGTAATATAATAATCAGTAACATAAAGAAAGTTTTATTGGCTCAAAAACAGCCAGATTAGAGAGTAGGACATAAAGCCCAGTATGGGCCCTGATATCAATAATAATGTGATATATGCGAAAGGAGGCCCTGTAAATCAGTGGGGTAAGTAAAGATTATTCAACAAAGGGTAATGGAGCACTTGTTAGCTGTTGGGTAAAAATTAAAGATTGAAACCATATTATGAACCACATACTATAATAAATTCCAGAAACATTAAAAATAAGTGATACCAAAAATAACGAAATAAATGTTGATGCATATATGATTTCTAGTTGCAAAAAGATTTTCTAAACTTAATAGCAATGGGAGAAATTTTGGAGGAAAATATTTAAAGCTTTCCATATATCAAGAGTATCCTAAGTTTAAACAAAACACTGAAAGTAATGATTGTTAACAAATAGGGCAAAGGGTTAATAACTTCAATTACAGCAGAAGCACAGATCACTTCTAAGATAACACCCAAGATCTCAGGACTTAGGAGGCAGAGAAAGTTAGTACACATTCACAAAAGAAAAAATACCATGGAAGATGTCAAACGTCAATAATAATTAGATTAGGGCACATTACAATGAAATTCACCTCTCAGTTGGTAAGACTAAGTGTTTGAGAGGATGAAATGCGATGATCAGTACTCTCATACCGAGGCTGTTAGAATTTTACACTGCTTTGGCCTTCTTAGGAAGCAGTTTGGCAGCATGTATCAAGAATCAAATATATTCATATGCTTTAATCTACTAATTCAGATTTTTAAAAGCTTTTAATCAGGGAGTATTTCAAAGTGGTGAATAAAAGTCAGTAAAGATTTAGTCACAGATGTAGATAAATCAGCCAAAATATTCTACTTCCAACTCTTTTTTTGTTTAAATTTTTTTATTGTTTATTACAGTTGTCCCAATTTTTTTTCCATTTTGTCCTCCTCCACCCAGCAACCCCTCTCTCCCAGTCACTCCCTTCTCTGTTGTGCATGTCCACGGGTCATTCATACATGTTCTTTGACTAGTCCCTTCCCTCTTCCTTCCCCCTCCCCTCCTTCTTCTTCCTCACTTTTCCCTCCCCTCTCCCCTCTTCAGCTACCAGTCTCTTCCATGTTTCCATGTCTCTGGTTCTTTTTCTCATCAGTTTACTTCATTCATTAGATTCCAGTTATAAGTGAGGTCATGTGGTTTTTATCTTTTGCTGACTGGATTATTTCACTTAGCATAATAGTCTCCGGTTCGATCCATGCCCTCACAAAAGGTAGGAGTTCCTTCTTTCTGCTGCATAGTATTCCATTGTGTAAAAGTACCACAGTTTTTTAATCCATTCATCTACTGATGGGTACTTGGGCTGTTTCCAACACTTAGCTATTGTATATATACTGCTATGAACATAGGGGTGCATAAGTTCTTTTGAATTGGTGTTTCAGGATTGTTAGGGTGTATTCCCAGCAGTGGAATCACTGGGTCATAAGGCAGCTCCATGTTTAATTCTTTGAGGGAATTCCATACTGTTTTCCACTGTGGCTGCACCAGTCTGCATTCTCACCAACAGTGCACTAGGGTTCCCTTTTCTCTATATCTTCGCCAGCACCTGTTGTTTGTTGATTTGTTAGCGATGGTCATTCTGATGGGTGTGAGGTGATACCTCATTGTGGTTTTAATTTGCATCTCTCTGATGGCTAGTGATGTTGAGCATATTTTTTTTCATATGTCTGTGGGCCATCTGTATGTCCTCCTTGGAGAAGTGCCTATTTGGGTCTTTTGCCCATTTTTTAATTGGATTGTTTTGTCTTCCTGATGTTGAGTCATATGAGTTCTTTATATATTTTGGAGATTAAACCTTGTCCAATATATCATTGGCAAATATGTTCTCCCATTCAGTCAATGACTTTTTCATTTTGATAATGGTTTCTGTAGCCATACAGAAACTTTTTAATTTGCTGTAGTCCCATTTGTTTATTTTTTTCCTTTATTTCCCTTGCTCTAGGAGATATATCGGGAAAAATATCGCTACATTGGATGTCTGAAATTTTACTCCCTATGTTTTCCACTAAGACTTTTATGGTATCACAACTTATATTTAAGCCTTTTACCCATTTGGAGTTTATTCTGGTGTATGGTATAAATTGGTGGCCTAGTTTCATTTTTTTTGCATGTACCAGTCCAGCTCTCCCAACACCATTTATTGAAGAAACTGTCTTTACTCCAAGGTATACTCATGCCCTACTTCCAGCTCTTTACTCAGTAAAATATTGTGCAGCTGTGAAAAGGTATGTCCATGAAAATATTTCATGGCATAAAACTGTTAACGGTTATTACAACAAAAGATACAATTAATTATCAAAATGTTTTTTAATATACAAACTGCATAGTTCTGAAGGAATTGTGCCTATATTAGATAGTAGATACATTTTTTCCTATTTTTATTTTTTAGACTTTTTTTATGGTTAGGAGTCTTTCGATTGCAGGTGACAGAAAATCAATCTCCAACAACAACAGAAAAGTGGGGGTGGGTGGGATTTATTGGTTCCTGTCACTGAAAATCCCAGTCCGAGGTACGGCTTTGGTCCGGGATAGACGCTGCAGCCCCGGCGACGGCTGTGCTCCGTTCTGTCCTCAGGCTGTGTCCCGCGGCCTCGCAGCAGGATGGTGCTGGGCACCCTCCCTTACGTTACAGCAGTCGCAGTCTCGCATCCCATCAAAGCCAAGCCAGGCCTCTTTTAGCAGCTTCCTCTAAAGGAAACTTCTCTTTCCCGTGGGCACTAGGAGATATCTCCTCACAGCTCAGTAGCTTTTAGTAGGTTATTTATCAGTCTTTGACTCCGTTGCTGAGGCCAATAGGATGAGATACCTAGCAGTCCCAAATGAGTCAAGATCTACCACTGGAGCCCAGGGCAGGGAGGACCATCTAGCCCAAACCACAGGACTGAAAATAAAGAGGTTATTCCCTCAAAAGCAAAATTCGGGTCCTTTTCTAAGACTAGAAACAGATCCAGGGCAGCAAAAGCGCCTCTTGTTCACTGTAGGGTACTTTAAAATTTTCTATGGTGAGCATATATTAAAAGCTATAAGGAAAGTATATTAAAGTTATAGTGAGAAAAGATATATAAGAATCTTGAGGAAGGAGAATGAAAAGCTTCCCTCCTGTGAAGAAATACTGACCCTGAAGTGCTCTGGAGAGGTATGGAAGCATTGATTTTGTAAAAGCTCTGGAATGAATTAGAATTCACTTCAGAAACCATGTGTGAGGCAGCGCCACGTAGAGGTTAGTATGTCTTTGGAGTCCTTGAGTATCTCAGTTCTTTCCGTTACTAGTTGCTTAATTTGGGGCAAATCGCTTAATCTCTATTGGCTCTGTCTCCTCATCTGCAAAAGAGATCTAATACGACCTACCTCACAGAGCTGTAGATATATGTATGCTGAGGTGAATAGTAAGCATTTCAAGAATCTTAACTATTATAATTAATAACTTTAAAAACTATTATGGAGATAACTTTTAAAAATACATATTATTTACATGGTATTTATGTGTTGTGCTGAGAGAGAAATACATATTTCTCAGCCTTGTCTAACATTCACATATACTCAACACATTTTTTAAAAAAAGTTTTTCTTTCACAAGTGTTAAACCTTAACTGTGAAGGGAAGGAGATAATGAGAGAGGTTAGAGGAGGAAATATAATACTTTCTCTACAATTGATGGCTTAAAAGGTAAGAAAAACATCTTGCTAACACTTTAGTTGCCATAATAATAGCTAATGTTTACATAATAACTTTTCATGTGCTTGGGTTTAATGTTTTAGGTGTTAGTACTTAGAGCAACTCACTGAATCCTCACAACAATCCTGTTAGTTAGTTGCTATTATTCTCCCCCCATGATACAGGCGAGGGAATTGAAGCCCCCAAAGGTTGAATGACTTGTGCAAAGTCCCACAGCCAGTGGCAGAGCTGGGAGTCCAGTGCAGGGGTCTGTGTTCGTCGTCCCTCCCCTGACTGCTCTCCGAGGTGAAAACCAGCCTCCTCCTGTTACTATAGACAACAAGACACGATTCGCTCGGTCCTGAAATTCACATTCTTTGTAGCTTTTCTCTCTCGTGGCACACAAGCAGTCAGACACATTGAGTAGTACATGCTTCTGGAGTATGTCCAAGAGGTAGATGTAGGGAAAACACTTTTAAAATGAGACTTTTAATGTGCATTGTTCAGTGGCAGAGAAAACCTGCCTAGTGAGGAAGTAAAATCCTACCAACCACATGCAAACCATTGCCTCAGACACCCCTGCTGGCACTGGGTCTGTGCCGTCAAAAATACAATGGATTCGTGAAATGAACCTTGTGCAAATGCAGGTTATGAATAACTGCCAACTTAAGGTCTTAAGATATGAATATGAAAAGCATGTGAAGCTTTTATAAACAAAGATCTGCTGCCATTTCTGGTAGTTGCCTTGGGGCATCTGTGCAGCTTCTGAATTCCGGTCTTGTTCAGCGCCTCCCTTGGTACAGCGACTAAGACAAAAGCTGGCACCTCTGACCCTTGAGCCAGTGGTAGACTCTCTGTTGAAAGGATGCATACCCCTTAATGGAACAAAAAAACATTAATTCTTAACCCACATAACTTCATAATTGTGGAAGGCTGTTCTCTCTGGTTCTGCTCTCACAAAGGCGTTTTCTTTCTACCAGAACATCCTACCAGTTATTCCATTTTTACCCCATCTGAAGATGTTCTCTCTCCTGTTTTTCTTTTTCATGTAACATGCATCTTCATTGTCTCACAAGTAATTAATATTTTTCCAAAGCAGTAGAAGTTTTCTTCTTTACGTTTTTTGTTGGCACTATTACAGATGTCCCCATCCCCTCCTTCCTGCCTCCGCCTGCCTCCACCCAGCCCCCAGCGCCCTTCCGCTTAGCCATTGCCGCATTGTGTGTGTGTCTGTGGGTTATGCATATACATTCTTTGTAGACCTTTCTTTAGAGCAGTTTTATAATTCACGGAAAATACAGAGTTCCCATGTTCCCCTCACCACCTGCACACAGCTTCTCCAACTATTACCATCTTACTCTAGTGGACACGCGCTCCCTGATGACTTCCACCATTCCTTTTCCTTTTCCTTTCTTTGACCTTGAACGTGCTAGATTTCTGCCTGTCTTGTAGCAATGATGTGAGATCTAATGTCACTTCACCCATGCACTCTAGTCCATCTAAAGCATGGGGCCAGTTTTTCAGTGTAAAAACATAATTGTTGGTGAGTGTCATGATGCTGTGTTTATGTGTTTTCAGATCTTACTGATCATTGCCTCAGTTATTGGGATCATTGTCTACAGACTCTCAGTGTTTGTTGTCTTTGCGAAAATTCGCCCGAGCGGGAATGGAACAGACCCGATCCAGAAGTACCTGACTCCACACTTAGCCACGTCCATCACCGCTTCCCTCATCAGCTTTGTCATCATCATGATCCTGAACATGATCTATGAAAAAGTGGCAATCATGATTACTAATTTTGGTAAGTTCCTACCATAGCTTAGGCCATTTCTAGGACATTCTAGAACCTGCTAAAGCTGGAGACTGTAACTTGTATGCATTTCAATTCTAGTGTGTTACAATTGTCAGAAAATTTTAAGTGTAAACATATTTTCCCTCGCCTGTATGGGAAATGAATTATCTACAGCTTTGCATTAGCACAAGGGACAAAGCAAAGACAATCATCATAATATCCAAGCTTTGTATAAACAGATCAGTGCTGAATAATATTTTCAATTACATTACATCATGTACCCTATTGTTGAAAGTAAATAGCCTCTTTATTGCAAATAAGCAGAATAGGGTCATGGTTCCAGTGGCAAATATGTTCCTCTGCTGCCGAGAGGACAAGTAGTCATGCTGTTACGTGTCTTCCCCGATTCTGTTCATATTAATAAAGCTCCATTCTCATCAGCTCTGGCTTTTGTAATAAATGTTTCTTCTCTCTGGCTTGCATCCCAAGCATCTGCTTTGTGTCCAGAGAAGTGCCTCCCGCACACTGCGCATGCCTGGGTCATTCTCCAAATGGCCTGCTCAGTGGTCGTGTTCTGAGAACGATCAGCCCAATCTAAACTCTAAACCAGGAGGATGACCTGTTTTGCCTTCCCCAAATGCTCTAGCAAGTTGCCCCTTGTTTTGTCTGTTTTCTTCAACATATCCTAAAAAAGACTAGAGAATATCATTCTTGCCCATTTGATAACATCATGCTTGTCATTTTAAGGAACAGTTGAATATTTTTTGCCATGTGGGATAATATTTATGGGGGAGAAACTCTTATAACAATGTGTAAACTTGAATTAACACAGTAGCTATATAAAGAAGCTCAAAACAGCTTAAATGGAAACAGTGTGAATTGTATTTTTTAAACATTTTAACTCATGTATCAGTGTCTTTGATTAGGGTCTCATAGCTGTTCACAATTTTTAAAACTTAATTTTCTTTCCTTTAACTACAGAACTCCCAAGGACCCAGACTGATTATGAGAACAGCCTAACAATGAAGATGTTCTTATTCCAGTTTGTCAACTACTATTCTTCATGTTTCTACATCGCATTCTTTAAGGGCAAATTTGTCGGTCATCCTGGAGATCTAGTTTATTACCTGGGAAAATATAGAAACGAAGAGGTATGAATACAGAATTGTATTCTCTTGGCAATTTAAGCTGCTTCATGTTTTCTCTCAATTGCCAGTGAACAGTTTCTTCATTGTACATTCTTTGATTTTTTTTTAAGCCTGAAAAGAATATCAGACAAATTAAAATTAGTGATTCTGTTTCATGTTAGAGCCATCTAAAATTTAAATGACATTTTCTTTTTAATATTCCAGTGTGACCCAGGTGGCTGTCTCCTTGAACTGACAACTCAGCTGACAATAATCATGGGAGGAAAAGCAATCTGGAATAACATACAAGAGGTGTTACTTCCGTGAGTATTAACTTCTGTAATCTGGGAGACAGGACAGAGCGTAACACAGCCCACCCATCCAGGTCATTTGCCTACCTGTCCACAAAGCTGCATGCCCACCTCTAACGGTGAAGTGGACTCTCTGTGTATGAAAGGTCTCCAAAAAATATGGTCCAACCAACAGTGTAAAAACATGGCTGCGTTTATGCCTTCATTTCAAGGAAGCCCGTGGCTGCGGATTACAGTAACCTGATCTTTTGCCTTCCGATACTTCTACTCCTGGTCTAAAATAGTTAAGCAGCATTTTGAATTGCCTTTCCCTTTTTTGAAAACTGGTAATGCTAAGCGTTAGCCAAAGAAGAGAGTGACTCAGGTGCTCCTCACTGCTTCTCCTCTGTATAGAGGTGCCAGTTTTCTCCTAACTCTTTTAATACAAAATTCTAACATACCAAAGATAACGTTAGTTATTCTTGCTACCCAAAATTACACACATCCCAAAAACATGTAGGAAGGGAGAGAAAAGTCTTATAAGTCAGCAGACGTGTTCACACCACTTAAATATGTCAAAAGGAGCATAATGAAATGGATTCCACCATAAATGTCCCTTCTCCCACTGCAGCCCCACCCGGGGTCCCTAGCTAGGATTCTTGGAATAAATGAAGCAGCACCCCTAGCACTGTGGTCGCGGCTCCGGCGGGGTCTCTCCAGCACCTAGATCGGTGCGTGGTATTCAGTAGGCACTCTCAGCACCAGTTGAGTGAATGAGTGACTCATATGCTTCTAATCTGTAACATTAGTAAATTAGTAGACGTGTTTGTTGGATGCGGGCAGCAAACTTAGAGGTCTTTGGCATTCCTAGCCTCATTTAGTATTGGAGGCATTCCTGGAAATTTTATTCTATACATACTTGACAAAAGGCTAGTGATAGTGATACCAAAACAGAATCACTAATTTTGTGATAATTTTATGGCAAAATGTTAAGGAAAATAATTAAATATCCATAATGCCAACAGCATTGTCCTTTGGTCAAAATTTTGGTAGTGGATGGCTGTCATTTTCTTCCTTTATGTGTTGTCTATATTTTCTACAATGAGTATGCACTACTTAAAGGAAAAGTGAACTGTTACCTTGAGAAGGGATATTTTATATGATTTGTCTAGAAGATGCACCAGAGACCCACGGTAAGAGAACCCTCATTGCTAGCCATGCTTGCTTTTTAAATTCAGGAACCGTAAACTCAGGAGTGAAATAGATCCAGCTAGTAAAGGATGTTTGTGCTTAAAATTAGCACGTGGGAATACTGTAGGATGTTCCAACACGAATTGTGATTATCCGCAGTATGTGGTTTAAATACAGTAATGAAGATACGAAGAGAAAACAAGGTATAAAGTACTTCACACCATGCAAGACAATTACTTTGTAACCCCCGTTAGATGGAAGGAGCTTTCAGCCTTGGCCAGGAGAAGTGGTGTCTGTATTTTTTAAAACTTCTGTAGGCAGTTCTTATGTGCAGTCAAGACTGATGTCCCTGCACTAGAATCATAACCCAGCAGAAAACCCAAAAGACCAAGGACAATGATAGGTGGACTACAACCTAAGGTTTCCTTCTACAGATGAGTGGTTTAGGTCAGAAAGACTGAGCAAGAGGTTCAGAGTAAGCTGTTCAGAAAGACTTCCATGTGACCTGTTATGGGTCAGGGAAGGCAGCACAGTATAAGACGGAGGCACAAGTGGCTGCCAGGATGAAAGTTTCCACCTGAATCTAAATTGTGATGGAATTGGGGCCCCACAAGGAAAAGGCCTGCTTCTCTGGAGAGGATTCAGCAAGAGCTGAGGCTGGAAGTGTGAGGCAGAGCAAAAAATACACCAGTTGAAACTGGTCATCCTGAGTTGGAGACCATGAAGGGTGATGGACATGTGTGGTCCTCGATGTCGCCTGCATCGCAAGACCCTTGTAATATCCATAAAGCTGCAGATTCCCAGACTTGACTGATTACAGAGCTTTGGGTTGAAAGCTAGGAAGTAGCACTAGCAACTAGCAATTTGAATTGTTCTTGTTAAATCCTGGAGTGAGATCCACCAATACAGCCAGCACTGTGTCCCCGAGCCAAGATTCTAAGTAACTTACGCCTGAATTGGTAAAAAATAAATAAATAAACAAACAAACAAATAAATAAATAATAATAATAATCTCAGGCAGTGGGTTTTAATGTGTTAGGAAGTGTGGTAAACGCTTTACTTGTTTTGAATCATTTAATCCTGACAGTAACGCTGGGCAGTATAGGTTTTATCACCGCATTTTATTTAAAGTTGACATAGTAAGCAATGAACTGTGAATTCAGGTTCAAGGGGTGTCTGAGTCCACATCCCTTCTGCTTTCCACAGTCTCTCGCTACATTCCTAATATCGTAGAAGAGATCAAAATGGGGAAAGAGTGGGAAGCCAGCAGCATGTTCTGCTTAGAGAAATCTCCCTGTAGTAAACCTTAGGGGGCGGGCCGTGTAGAGTTAATGCTGAGGTCAGCAGCGGTGGGAACCCTGGCGTGGTGAGCTAGTTGTGTCTGGCACTGCGTGTGTCTGCACACACAGTATATACAGCTGTCTGTACGTGAGTGTGAAGCCTCCTCACTGCCTGAATTTGAAGTCCATACAAACATGCTGTTTAATCAGCCAAAGTTGTGTCAGACGGTTATGTCTGAAAGTTGGTTGTTGTGGCACCTCTTCTGACGAACTCCACAAGGAAACCACAGGCCACTGCTGCTTCAGGGGACAACGGTCTCTGTGCTCCAGGTGCACTCCGCACGTCACTGCCGGCTCCGATTACTTTTCAGGACAAATTGCCATAAAAATAGGGGAAGCATTTATCTGGGCCATGAGGCTTTGAGGAAGACAAAAACGTAACACAGAAGAAGAGACAACAGACAGCTCTGTGAGGACAGTATCCGCAGGTGATGACTTTGAGGAAGTGTACCATGTCTCTGGTCCTTGATCTGTTCAGCTTAGAAAAGGGCCTTAGACTTGTTTCATCTAAGGTCCAACTATGTCACTTTTCTCTCAGTGTCCCTCATTGGCTCCCTAGTTCCCTCAGAGTAAAAAACACCCAAATCTTCACATGGTCTCTTAACCTCCCCTGCTTGGCCCTTCGGCTTCGCAGTCTCTCTTTTCAAATGCGCCCCCCGTGGGGTCCCCGCCGCCATCCCACTCCCCTTCCCACAAACGCAGGCTCCCCGAGCACTTGCCACCACCAGCTCACTACCCTGTCTTTGTTTATTTCCTCTGTAAGCCAATTTTGGATAATAGCATGGAAATGAGAAAAAAAGTGAATCCAATGAGGGAAAATATCTTTTGAAAACTGAACTGCTTGTGTGAAAAAGGGCTAAGAGAAAAAGTGGCTGTTACAATTCTGACAAACCGAGGCCCATAGTATTATTTTTCAGAGTGGTCAGGCACAAACAGTGCCCCTTTTTTATTATAAAATCTTTTTTTACAAAATCATAAGCATGTAATTCTGTAACATAACAATAGCACACCCAAGCACACCAGATGACATTTTAGGTACAATTTTCAAATTAAAACTATAAATTGTCACACCCATATTATTACCCTACCAACGACACTCAAGCAGGCCTTACTTCTTCCAGACCCTGTATTTTCAGGTAGGGGGTCAGAAGTAAACAATCTAGTGTGAAAATACAAAATGAGTTTACTGGGAAGATTATGTATTCAGCTTAGGATATCATCCCTAAGTACTTTTATGAACTTGGCCCGATAATGTTTTAATTTTTAATTTGATCTTTTTGGCAGCTGGTTGAAGAATCTATTTGGACGCTATTGCACAGTTTCGAGCTCAGAAAAGATAACCCCACGATGGGAGCAGGACTACCATCTGCAACTCATGGGCAGGCTGGGATTATTTTATGAATATCTTGAAATGAGTAAGTCATAAGTGAAATTGTAGGTGATATAAATTACATTGGAGCATGTTTGGTGTCCCAAAAGTCATGATTATCAAGCCAAAGAGTTATTTAGCATATTGAAATGGGTTATGTTCTCCACTAGATGATACTATACAATCAGGCTTTCAAATAAGGTGACTGTGTGTACCTTTGTCAGTGTTTATGTTGTACGCAGCTAGAGATGTATTTCTGATGAAATGGAATAGTCATTGAGATGCATCTTCACCATTAATTCTCAGAGCGTTCTAACCATGCTGTCTGAGAATGAACGCAAGACTATTATTAGATGTGATTCAGCTTGGGCTGGAGGCCACGCAGGCACAGCTCTGGGCCAGTGAGCTTGCGAACGGGGCTGTGTAAGCAAGCCTGTGCAGAGAGCCTGTAGGAGCAGCATGTTGCTTCTAGTCTCGGTGGTGATCACCGGGCCCCCACCTTTCATGCCTGCCTTTGACAGCGTATCTCTTTCTTCTGGCCAGCAGTCTCTGCCTGGTTCCTTGAGTGACCTTATGACTAATCACTGGCTTGAATTCAGAACCATTTTGCTGGTCTGGGATTAAAAGTGAGCACAGGTCTCCTTCTTGATGGTCTTTGTTCATTTGTGGACTGTTTGCTTGGGCTCTGTTTCTCTTTTCAGTGGAACTTGATTTTGAGGCTGCCTTTAAGGAGATGTATCTTAAAATAGATTTCCATGGGAAACACCATCTTTTCTTTTATGCATGACACGCTTATATCTAATAGAAGGCTAACAATGTATGTGCTTTGTATCTGTGCCCTTTCAGCTAACCACTGCATTCAATTACAACTTTTTTAAGCTTAGCAGAGTAGAAAAGGAGGCACATTTGGTTGGCAGACCTTGCATTTATGCGAAGGGGTTTGTGGGTTTGCAGAGACACCCCTTTGTGTTTCCTGTTTACAAGTCTGGAAAGAGAGAGTGGCTTTTATTAAATCACAGTCTATATATAAAATAATTGCTTTTAAAAATATACATTATACATGGAAACACATCTGCTTCCTTCAGTGACTGAAAGGTTCATCTTGTAGCTTCTTCAGTCAACAGTGCTTTGCAGTCTGGAGTCTGATTTGAATTTCCTTTTTGCTTGTATAATGTTTTGTGACCAGGTTCGATTAACAGTGTAGCTGCCATATATAATGCAGAAGCTATATTTATTCTGTTTGTTTTCAAAAGGACTTTAAAGATAATTACCTGTTAGTCTAAAATAGTCATAAATATTTCTTGTGGAGCTATTATCAGCATTAGTAATAGCATTTTGGGGCAGAATACCGTTTATTATTTTAGCATCAAGGAAAACAAACTTGGGAAAAAAGAGTTATTTTCCTGTAGTTGATTAGTCAAAACAGTGTCATTGAAAGGAAAAGTTATATGGTTGTGTTTTGGGGAGAAGTTGATCTGACTTGAAGAGTTTCCTAATCTCATTAAAATCATTTCCAACTAAATAATTCAGCCTCACCCTACCTTATAAGAAAAGCTGGACTAACAACTGTTATAGACAGATCTTTTTAGATGTGTTATTTTCCTATTATCCAAATAATAACTAATGAATTAGAAAAATCAGAGAACAGGCGGTCTGTTACTCTGTAATCAACTCCAGAGTGGAATCTTTTTTTTTTTTCCTTTGGGGGAGATAGAATTTCCAAGTACCTTTTGAATTATTTTTGTTTTTCTAAAATAAATATAGGGTATCTTTGGGGGTGGTCTCACCACCACACAGTTTCTTTCCGTTTTCCCACACTCATTACGATACCGCCATCTACCTTTTTAATTATGAAGAGAAACATATTCTGACAAACCCTGGCACTCTGCCGCTTCACCCCCTTGCTTAGGCCCTGCTCCCGGCCACCCGCTCTGTTCCCCACTGCCAGATATACCTCTCTCTTCTTTTCTATTTGAGGAATTCCTGCCAGGCCTCAGCAGTAACTCCCAACTTTTCACACAGACTAGCTGTTCTTTTCTCTAGGCATTCACTCGACTCCTGTGTAGGTGGTATGTAATTGTGTGCGTGCCTCTCTCCCTGGTTAGACTGTTCCTGTTGGGGGGAGCTAGCAACACCATCGCATCTTTCCATCCTCAGCTGGAGCTCCGCTGCCTGGGACATAGTCCTCATATTTATTTAAGTGACTTCGGCTTGGAGTTTCCACACACACACCAGTGTGAGCTGAATTTACATGAAGATTGCTCCAGCCACCCCCACCAAGTTCTGAATGGCATATGTGGCATGTGTTTTGGGGGGAGAATTTTGGAGTGAAATTTCTTTTTCTTTTGTTGAGCAAATTCCTCACCATCCTTTGAGATTGTTAGAGAAACCCTGGGGTGTTAACCAAAGTTGCCTCCCCAGATGTATGGCTCTGACTTCTGAAATCTCAGATATGGGATATAAACGAAATAGTCCATTGGTCTTAAAATCCAGAAGCCATAAGACAGCATTTTGTCCATAGACACAGCACAGACACTGGTGTCTCGAGTACTTGGTGTGGCCTTCCCTGTGGGCACAAGCCACAAATGAAATGCAGGACTGTGATGAAGTGAGCCCTGTTTGACGTTACCTTCCTCCATTCCTACGTTAGTTTTCAAAAATTTATTAAAACAATGACCTCTATATATTATTTTCTCCATTTAACTTCCCGTAATTAATATAGCGACTGTTCTTTGCTATCTCCTTGCACCACCCTCTTTCCTTCCCTCTCCTCAAGGCAACACCTCCCCGTCCCCCCATCCCCACCCCCTCTCCAGGACCCAGGCCTGCCTTCCCCACTCCCTCATCTCTGCTCTGTTTCCACCCACCACCTGCACTGGCGTTTCCTCGTCCTTGCAGGATGAGCTTTCCAGAATGGACAAAGCACTACAGCTAGGTGGCTATTTTTTAAAAAAGCATGTGTATATATAAATATATAAATGTATTTTTATTTATTTTTATGTTTATATATACACACACACATAGATATACACAGAGATACGCACATACCCCTCGGCTTTTTAAAATTTAAGGTAAACAAAAGTGAAGGGGGAAAACATTCCAGAGAGAAATGTTTGGCTGTATCAAAAGCTGCCTAGTGATCCAATAAATAAGAGCTGAAACATCCAGTGGCTCCACATCATGCAGCCCCCGGCAGAGTTAACGAGAGGGGTCTCTGTGTGGTGTGAGGGCTGTGCAGAACGAGTGGTGGAGAAACAGAGTAGGTTCCTCAAGGAACCTGACTTTAGGTGAAGAAGAAAGCACGGCAGGAGTGAGCAGGGCAGGGCATGAGGGAGCTCCTTGCGAGGGTTATTTGTGTTTTTCCAGTGGGTGCTTTTTGCCTTGATGAATTGAATTGATAGGTCCTTTCTTGCTTACTTGCTTTCAATAGTTGCTTAGAAAGTTCTTCTTACTTGACTACCAGAACAGGTTGTACCACCTGGAATTTATTTCAGTGTCGAAAGCGAGGACTCCGTCCATACCAGTTTGTCCAGCGCAGAACTGATTGCTCCATACTTGAATCCTTGAATCTACTGATTTGAAGTATCACTTTTATAATTCATTAAAATCCCATGACTATTTGCACCTATTCTTGAAATCTATTCTGTTTAATTCATACTATCTATTAACCTGCTGTAAACTGTGTCAATTATCATAGCATAATAATATACATTAATGTATCATAGAGCTGGTCCTGTTTTACTGTTTTTCAGAATGTCCCTAATACTGTCAGTTCAAACATCCCTCATCATTATTGTATTTGTGTATATTTCCTGAAGAATTTTAGTATCACCTTTTAGCTTTTTTCCCCTTAAATTCATTTAGGATTATTAACTAAATTTGCATTGAAATATAAATTAGAATTTGAGGGGAAAAGTGTGATATGTCCCCAAACTTGTCTGCCCAAACAATCCACCATTTATTCATTCATCATTATTTGTTAAGTCATTGTAACAGTCTTAACATTTCTCATTATTTTTAAATAGTCTGTGCCTTCGTTGTCATTATAAATGGTCTCTTTTTTGGATTTTTAGCTGAGTTTCTTGCTAATGTAGTCCTAATTTCTGACTTCTCTTGAATAATGAGATCTGGCAACTGCAAATGGTCCCTTTAATTAAAACATGCGCTCACCAGTCCGCCACACTTGACTGCACCCTCCCCTCTCATTCCCCTTCCTCACCTGGCCCCCGGAGGTAGGGAGATGAGTTCACACGGGGTTAGATGAGTCATAGGCACAGAGAGTGACGCCACTGCTTGATGCTATGCTGCTGACTCTGTGCCATCACCAACTCCAGCCCTTGCCTATCTGATTTCCCTGAATATGACCACGCCTGTCCGCTGGTCTGTAGCACACCCTGGCCCCTGAGACCAGAAGCAACTCCCAGCTCCTGCCCCGCCACCCCTCCCCAGTGTTGCTTTTCCTGGCTGGACCACTCCAGCCCCTCATCTAAGCAACAGCCCCAAAAGAGCTTATATTTTCCCCTCATCCACAGCCTTAGTCACATAGCTCTACTAGGTTAAAGGTCTGCCAGTGTGGAGGGAAGGGTCTCAAACTGAAAAGTATAACATAGTATACATCACGCAGGGTACAGGCAAGGAGAAGAGCACTCCTAAAGCACCATTTGAATGTTGACTTAGTGTGACCATATGGACTGCGACAACTTCGAGATACAAATTCCTGAAGAAGGATTATATTTTTACTTAAGACACTTTTATCACATACATCTCTGTGATGTATGGTAATGCCTCAAGTTCTCTGAATATGACGCACTTTCAGACTCAGGGGCACTTGCTCATTAGCCTATTTTCAGCATTATTTCCTCCAACATGCTCTAAGCACAGTCTTCCCAAAGGTATGCGCCTTATTTCTTTTTAACTTGTTGGATAATCCCACAATATTTTCTTTTTTTAATCCTAAATCACAAGTCATCATCCAATATTCTATCATTTCAACATTGGGAATGAATAATATGTTTAGAATGTCCCAAGTTCATTTGCCAGCAAATAACTTTGGTTGATTAAAGATTTTTAAATATATTATCTTTATTAAGGGTATATATGTGAAAGAAACAGTCATAATTCGTCTTTTCCTAGAGATCTCAGGGTATTTGTGTTTTGTTTGAATTCTCTCCCTGTTGAACATTATTAGTGCCATAGATGTCTATTCTCTTTGGAGGTTTGCTGTTTGCCTTTTTCTTTACAAGAGTAAAGGAAAATGTGTTGTCTTTCCATCCACCACTCCATGATGTGTGTCCATTTCATTGACAGTTATTCAGTTTGGGTTTGTCACCTTATTTGTGGCCTCTTTTCCACTGGCCCCTCTGTTGGCTCTGGTGAACAATATATTGGAAATAAGAGTGGACGCGTGGAAAATGACTACCCAGTATAGACGCATGGTGCCAGAGAAAGCCCAGGACATCGGAGCGTGGCAGCCCATCATGCAAGGAATAGCGATTCTGGCTGTGGTGACCAATGTGAGTAAAACCGAGGCTTCACAGGGTGAACACATGGAAAAGTCCAGAAGTGCATTAGCCTTGCTACCTAAGGAATCAAATGTTTGGTATTTCTTAAAACAGGAGAAAGATGCCAAGACTATCATCCACATAAACAGCATGATTATACTCATTGTAATTTTTATTTTTAAATGCATTTTGTTTGTTTATAATTATTATTCATGACTTACAAAGTCAAGACCTCTTACAGAGACAGTTGCTAAGAAGGAGTAACCATTATATTATTGTTGCACATTTGCTCTTTATTCAGTAACATGGTAGTAGTAATAACAGTAAGTACTGACTTTTAATCCTCACATGACTATAAAAGGAGTTATCCAAAAGTGCTTTTATAGCGGAGATAGAAAGCCATCCATTTAGAGTGTGAGGACCCTGAAATGACAGCTATCATTCCACCATATTTTAGCATCTATACCAAATTATCAACTTGACATATTAACTATTTGGTGATGAAGCATAAACTGTGCATTTGCAATCAGTGTTACCAGTGTAGCCACTCTCTGGTTATTAGCTGAGCAGCCTCATATCCTGGGTGTATCCCAGCTGGGAGGGACCAGGATGCAGTTGTTCACAACCGGTATTGATTACAGACCTGTCCAAGCAGTCTCTTTTTTTTCTCCCTACCAGCCAACAGGGAGCTCTCAGGCAGACCAGCTCCCATGCCAGCTCATCAGGGACCTCCTGCCCTAGAAGTAGTTATAACCAGGGCTATTTCTTCCCTTATTTCACTCCCAGGCCACAGTCCCCAACAAAGTAAGATCCCAGTTGGAATTTCTCCATCAAGCCACACTTGCCCTGCATCCCGAGCCTTTTCCCACAAGCACTTGCCAAAACAGAACAGAACCAGGCAGAGCCCATGTGTCAGGCTCCTGCGCGGGAAGTTGCTGAGCCCTGCCAACTCTGCGGTCAGCCCAGAGCGCCAGCCCCCAGCGTGACAGCTGCCCAGCTGCACGGCCTTGGCCAGGCCTTAACACCCGAGCTCATTTTGTCATTTGTGGATTGATTAATTCTCTATCACACACTTTGAGGATATCGTATGCCACAAAGGGTGGCCAGGGAACTCAGTGAGTTAATGTGTGGAATGCACAGAGCCTGGTCTTCATGGACTGTTAGCTGCCGCTGTTGATCCTCTTGATTTCTCATCATCAACGAACAGTGACTCTGTGTCGACTTTGACAGGTGTCTAAACCAGACGCAAAAGAATTTTACAGGGTGTCACTGTCTGGACCATCATTAACTTGTTTTACTGTGTAAAACTGTAACTATCTTGAACCCAGCTGTCACCCCCTAAGAACCCTCAATTTACCTGAATTGCATGTTATCCCTTCTTTTTTGGAGTAAGTTCCAAATCACACACAAAAAGCAACTAATAGGTTACAGCAGTTTCCATTCATCCAAACAGCCCACACTTTCAACATCCACTGTGCTGTGAAATGAAGACTGATATTTAGAAATATGTCAGTGAGGCCTTTCAAGTTCCACAGTCGTAAGAGAATGAGTCTGTCATGTTCAATATGCTGGACAACACTAAATGTGGCAGGAGTGTAGACTTGGGCACTTTAGCAAAATTTTCAGCAGCAAGGTTTGAAATAAAAGTTTTTGTCTGACCTTCAGCTAACCAGAAAATTCAATTGAGTCATACTCCCCATTCCTCAAGCATCTGGTTTGACTGTATTCAGCACCTTTTCCTAGTATCCCCAGCCTGGCTGCACTCCATCAGCACAGACGGAGCGTTGGCTGGGGCTACTCTCTGTGTATGTAAGCGCGTGTGCACACATGCGCCCGCTCACTGGTGCCACTGGTTCTTACCCAAGTCACTTAGGCCTCGTTTTCTTATACACTTATATTATTACTTCCCCTCCCTAATGTGCGCCTCCCCCATCTGATGTGCACTAGAAAGGCTACCTTTCCATTACGGGAGAACTTTGAGCTGTAGGAAGAAGGGAATAGCTCCCAGGGATAAGAATAGACATGAAGCAGGAGTTTGGTTTACAATCATTCATTTTAAAGCTGCTAGTTCAATAGTAAGCTGAATTGACCTTATTGTATCATGCCAGAACATCAGCTATTGAAGACCAATTTTAATTTATTTGGATATAAATGGAAAATGGTGTTTGCAACAGCATGGGACATGAAGCACACTGAATTTATTTGTATTCTTGCAGCATGTCTCAAAGCAGCTCAATGCAGGGGGAAAGAGCATCTTGTCAGAAGATAATAGAATTAACTTCCTTGTCAGAATTTTTGTAGCTTCCTAAAGCACATCTGCTGGTGATTCTATAAAAAGCTACAGTTGACTAAATTAACAAAAAATGGTAATCTTTTGAAATCTGGAAAAAATAGTCTTGCATTCCTCCACCACCACCCCTGACAGGCAGGCACACACACCGAGAAGGACCTCACCTCTGTGGGGACGGCGGGCGGGTTCCATGGGGAGGCGTCTCGCAACAGAAAAGCCCCCTAGTTGTTTTTCCTGCTTTGCCTGAGATACTGTTTGTTGGCTGTGGTCTCACTGTGTCTAAACCATATGTTCAGATGAATACTATTAAAAAACCATATTGTGCCAAAAAAGGGTCTGTTCTGCTGCTTCGATAAATGACTGAATCAGAGAACTTTGTTTATTCACATAGAATTTGGATTAAAATATACTTTGTACTTTTTCCTTCCCTTCAACCAGTTTTATATGTTGGAAAGATTAAAGCCAAACCTAAAAATTTTTAGAGAAAATTAATATGATACAAAGTAAATTTACAGCTGAATAGATATCTGCCTAGTTTAGACCCAGGTTTAAGTTTAACCGGTATTTATTCCTTTAATCAGAAAACACACTAAACTCTGTTATTCAATCATTTATAATGTTCATAACTTTATCCATTTAAACTTTTGGGACTGTAGAGGCTTGGATATTAGATCTAACAATATAGACATCATTTCTTGACTGTGTGAATGGAGTAACCAAAAATGGTATTCTTTTTTTGGTATCTACATTTTAATAAAATTAATTTAAAAATTATTGCTCTCTAATGAAGCAGCATACATAAGTATATACTGACAACTTAAAATAAGTCAGACTATAGGCAGACTTGTCTAAACAAGTGTGTAGATTCTGTAGAGAAAAACGTATGAATTTAAAAGCTATTGTTAACTTAGAGCAAGGAAAATGTATTTTATGCAGTTCATATTCTATTTTTAAGTGCTGACGGATTAAAAAATCTGTTTTGTATTAACTATTTACAAAGGAATTATATGAAGCCAAATTATTTATAATATCGACCTTAGTATTGTATATACAAAAGGGTCTTCTACGTCTAAATAATAAAAGATCTAAATTATATTGACGAGCTCTAAGCTTTATTGAATTTTGTTATATTCTAATTTTTGAAAATAAAATTCATGTGAATTATATGCAAGCAACTCTTGAATTATGCACAATATCAAAGTCCAAAATTATTTTTACTGTACTTAAGAAACATAACATGTTGCTTTTGAACTACAGATAGACTTCTGGACATTTCTTTGAATTGAAGACAGAATTTTCTCAGATTCTAGGATAATCACTATCTGTATCCATTTGTTATAGATATAGTTAGGAGAGAATTAAGGCTCCTGAATCTTTAATTTTAAAAACAGTCAACTGATGAAAGTGTGATTCTGACCTGTTTGTTAACATAGCTATGAAGGCTCTAATTTAATGTCCCTTCCTTGTTTTCTTCCCAACACAGGCTATGATTATTGCTTTCACATCAGACATGATCCCCCGCCTGGTGTATTACTGGTCCTTCTCTGTCCCTCCCTATGGGAACCACACCCACTATACCATGGAGGGATACATCAACAACTCTCTCTCCTTCTTCAATGTCTTGGACTTCAAAAACAGTGACTCTGAAAATCCATTCTCTGGGCAAAACCATACCATGTGCAGGCAAGTTCCGCTTATGTGTTTAAAAGAAAAGTCTTATATCTTAGAAATGAAGAGACTCTAAAAGTTCCAAAAAGAAAGATAATTCATTTGCTATCACTGTGTTATTCAAGCACAACCTGACAACACTGAATGACAAGCTAGCACCCTCATTTAGCAAAGAAATGCAAAGACAAGAAATGCAAATACCTCCGCCTAGCCAGCAGTATTCTCTGAAGATATTCCAAAGCATCCTGCATTGATTTTAATGGCTGGCTATATCAATTGTGGACAGTATATTTGAACTAAATTTCCAGTTGATGAAGTTTGTTGACTATAGATCGAGTGTTTTTGTTCAATCAGAGTCTTAAACCTAAAGGAGGATTTAAAGTTTATTTAGTTCCACTCTTGAAAGCACTCTTGGATTCAGATTCTTAACATAACCAAGAAACCAGAAATAAGCCCCAAATAAATGTTTCAAAGTTACACATTGTAGAGCCTCTTCAGAATTCCACAGTGAATCTGCTTTATATAATTCTCAAGAGTAATTAAACTCTTCTAGGTCTAATAGGTTACAGGAAGAAAATTGGAGATATGCTACCTGAGGGAGAGACACTAACAGCAGTAGCAGCACGTAACATCTGACAGCACAGAAATTAGTAAGAAAATTTTAACAAGTAGCCAGTATTCCGATAGGGGGAGAAGAGGCCCATAGCTAATTGAACCTTGATGACACCATTATATAAATTTATAAACATGTTTCTGGAAATACACTCAATTGTTTTAGTTATACTCTTTTGAAAAAGCAAGGATAAAACTCTGGCAAAAATATTTTAAGATACTTTTGTGGGGGTTTTTTTGTTTGTTTGTTTGTTTTACAAAGATGAAATCTGTCATTACCATCATTTTCCTATTGCATGTAAAGTTTTACTGGAATAGTATTTCACCATTTTGTTACCAAATTAAACTCTTGGAGATTATTTATATGACATCCAATTTTTAAAAAATCATTGTATTAAATATGATCTCTTTTTAAATGGGCCCTTGTTTACAGTATTTGATCAAAAAGAATTATTTCCTGATCCACCTCCATTTCATTTGCAGGTATCGTGACTTCCGCTACCCTCCTGGACACCCGCAAGAGTATAAACACAACATCTACTATTGGCATGTGATTGCTGCCAAGCTGGCTTTTATCATCGTCATGGAGGTAGGAAAAGTATATGTACTTTGAAATAGTTTATAAGGCAGTATATTTGCATATCTTTTATCAGCTTTAAGTGTTGCCAACTCTGACTTAAAATGTACAACGTTCTTATCTCATGCTAATAATTATTTTAGGACATTTATTAATCAAATTTGACCTGAGAATATCCATAAAGCTTTCATTAATTAAATGAAGTTGCTTATCTCCTTTTAAAGTTAAAAGCATGTTGTGTGCTAAGGGGATTCGATTCTTTTCAATTCAGTATTAATTGTTGGTAGTGGGGGCACTTGGCTACATGTTAGGTAGAGAAGAGCCTTATTCAAAATGAATAAGATGTGATCTCTGCCCTTGAAATGTATTGCTCTCATAGTTTTATTTGTATTACTTTTATTGATTTTCATAATACACCTTTTTATAGTTTTATATTCCTAAAATTAACTAGCTCTGAGAAATGATTAAGGCAGCTATAAATGCGAAATTGATCTAGCCAACTTTACGTCTTACATGGAGTGAATAACTCCTACTAAATTACAAGCCTCAGAAAGTGCTTGATAGGTGTGGTCAGTTAGGATTACATTTAGCTGCAAGAAACTGAACACCCATCTGTAGTTAAATAAAAGTTGACTTTTCTCACATAAACTTCACTGGAAGTAGGTGATTGCTACTGAATCAATACCAGCTCGCTGACATAAGGACCATATCTCTGAGTTTCTAGGTTTTCTCTCATTGACTGCCATTTTATGTTGCAATATGACAGCTATAATTCCAGATAACACATTTATGTCCTAGGTGAGGAGGAGGAGAATGGGGATGCTAGCCGTATCTGTTCCTTTTTGTCAGAAAAGAAAATGCTTTGCCAGAACCCTGCAGAGCATACTTCCGTGCACATCTCATTGGCTAGATTAATAGCAAAGGATTCCTCTTAGTAGCAAAGAATGCAGAGACAGAAGGCATTTGGTTTGCTCTGGATAAAACCACAATCTGTTAGCAAGAACAGAGTGGGATAGGCTACCTGGCTTTGATCATTTCTCTAGTACTTTTTAATAGTGACCAAAAACTAACAAAAGAAGAAACTAATTCATTATTAGCTCACTATCCTAAGTGGATTCCTGAAATACAGTATCCGGTATACAGCAAGACTCACTGGTTTATACTCAGATATACAGTTACCAAAGTGTCTAGACTCCTGCTTTTGATGTCATGCTGGACTAGATCCTATGAGGACCATCATCTCAGTATAAAACATTTTCAATTAGCTTAAAACATAGTTTCCCTTGCATTTTTTAGCTCACTAGAAGGGAGGAGAATCTCCAAAAAGGAAAGAAAAAAACAGGTGATGAGCTAAAATAAAGCGGTGGGCAGCAGGCACCCTGAAGCTCAGGAGTCCTTTAAAAACAAGTACTGTTACCGTGTCTCCATCTAAGAGCTCAAGGACACCAAGATGGGGGGCAGAAGCAGGCAGAGGAGCTGAGCTTGAGACGCTAGGATTCAGTTAGGGATCCCAAAACACCTCAGGGCAGAAGGAAATGTGTATCTTCTCTGGAGAAAGGTGTCCTTAATTTAGACCCCAGGTTTTTCTCAAATTGAAATCCTCAAATATGAGGTTAAAATCAAAGATTAACAGGCTTCCAGTCAATATGGCAACAGCAGTAAATGTAGTCATTGCCTCCTCCCACAACCACTGGAAAACTACAACTAAACTGCAGAACAACCATCATTGGGGACCATCTGAAGTCTAGCTGAACAGAAGTCCTATAACTAAAGATACAGAGAAGAATCCTCAATGAGACTGGTAGGAGGGGCAGAGACATAGAATGTGCTGGTCCCACACCCATGTGTGGTGGATGAAAATAAGGAGGGATACCTCAACTGTGGAGGTCCCCTCTAAGGAGCCAGGGATGCCAGCCCCACACTGGGCCTCCCAGCCAAGTATTCCAGTGCCAGATAGAGAAGTCCCTGTAACTTCTGGCTGTAAAATCCAGCAGAGATTATGGCTGAGTGAGACAGAGGGCTGCTCATCTCAAGCATTTCTCTTAAAGGGCCAACACATGGACTCGCTTGCTTTGAGATCCAGCCCTGGGGCAGCAGCTCAAAGGCATCAGAGACACATCCAGAGGAACTGAGTTGTCCAGCATCAAGGCAAGAGCTAGAGGGGCAGCTTTTTCCCAAACTGAATTATTAACAAAAGCCTCTGTGCCTTTGCTGAGCTCCCCTCCCTCAGATACAGACTGATGACTGATGCCATTGAGTCTCCATCAGCCTGGCTAACACTGTTACCTCTGCTGATTCCTTGAGACCTCCCCCCACCCCATTTTCAGCTGCCCCCATCCCCAAGCCATGTCTAGTGGCTATTCCATACAAATGGCCTATTTTGGTTCATGCTGAAGACTTTCCTAAAATCTCTCAAAGTTTCACAAATCCCAAATAAGCAGCACCTGGCCTCGGTGTACCCCCATACCTCTGGCTAAGTGGCCCTCGGCACAGGCAGCAGCTGACCTAGGCCCGCACCCTCCTGAGAGACCTCAGAAGCGACACACTGTGCGGCCAGCTCAGATGACACTAGAACACCACCCAACCACTTCCACAAATGAGACATTTAAAAGTCAGACCCTGCAGGCACCAGAGCACTGCCATAGCAAATCCTGGTACATAGAGTCAGCCCCCACACAACAGCTCCTCTGTTGTAGTCACGGCTAGTCTTTACAACCAGTCAGCCTGAGGGTTAGTCCCTCCAAACAGCTGTCAAGGTTCAGCTACAACACAACCCATACAAGGACATGCCCAGGTCAGGTGACAAGGGAAACTGAGCCCCATATGACACCAGCTACATAAGCCCACTCAACCAAGATGGAGAGACATAAGAGCTCTACCTAATACAGAGAAACAAGCACAGGGAGTCAGCCAAAATGGGGAGACAAAGAAACATGGCCCAAATGAAAGAATAGGAGATAGTTTCAGAAAAAGAACTAAATGAAATGGAAGCAAGCAATCTACCTTATACAGAGTTTAAAATATTGGTTACAAGAATGCTCAAGGAACATAGTGAGAACCTCAACAGCATAAAAGAGGACATAGAAACCACCAAAAATAATGAGTTAGAAATGAGGTATACAATAACTAAAATGAAGAATACATTAGATGGAATCAAAAGTAAAGTAGAATACATGAAGCAGAGGATCAAACCAGAGATTTGGAAGATAAGGTAGCAGAAAAACCCAATCAGAAGAGCAAAAAGAAAAAAGAATCCAAAAACTGAGGATAGTTTAAGGAGCTTCTGGGAAAATATCAAGCATGACAACATCCACATCATGGTGCCAGAAGGAGAAGATAAACATCAAGGGATTGGAAAACTATTTGAAGTAATAGTGATAGAAAACTTCTCTAACATGGTGAAGAAAATAGACAAAAAGCCCAGTAAGTACAGAGAGATGAACCCAAAAAGGTTCACATCAAGATATATCATAATTAAAATGCCAAAGGTTAAAAACAGAATCTTAAAAGCGGTGAGAGAAAAGCAGTTAGTTACCTACAAGGGAGCTCCCAGAAGACTATCAGCTGATTTCTCAATACAAATAATGCAGGCCATAGGGATGGCATGAAATAGTCAAAGTGAGGAAAAGCAACCACCTACCACCAAGATTACACAGCAAAGCTATCATTTTGAATTAAAGGACAAATAAAGTTTCCCATAAGTTCATCACTAACAAATCAGTATTTTAAAAAAACAAAAAAAAATAAAAACTTAAATATATGAATAATAGAATGGTAATAACCACATATCTATCAACAATTACTTTAAACATAAAGGGATTGAATGCTCCAATCAAAAGACATACAGTAGCTGAATGAGTAACAAAGTAAAACCCTCACATAAAGAGACTCACTTCAGTTCATAAGACACATGCAAAGCCTAAAAGTAAAGGGATGGAAAAAATATTTCATGGCAGTGGAAACAAACAAAATGCTGAGGTAGCAATACTTATACCAGACAAATTAGACTTTAAAACAGAGGCTATAACAGGAGAGAAAGGATCCAGCAATTTCACTTCTGGGTATTTATCTGAAGAAACCCAAAACACTAAATTGAAAAAACATAAGCATTCATATGTTTATTGCAGCCTTATTTACAATAGTCAAGGTATGGAAGCAACCTAAGTGTCCACTGATAGATGAGTGGTTAAAGAAGTGGTGCATATATGCAATGGAGTATGAGTCTGCCATAAAAAAGAATGACATCTTGCCATCTGCAACAACACAGATAGACCCCAAGGGTATTTTAATGAGTGAAATAAGTCAGACAGAGGAAGATACATGCAATATGATTTCACTTATGTGGAATCTAAAAAAACAAAATAAACAAGCAGAACAGAAAAAGACTCGTAGATACAGGGAATATTTTTATGGTTGTCAGATGGGGGTAGGGTGAAAAAGGTGAAGGGATTAAGTACAAATTGGTGGCTACAGAATAGTCATGGGGATGTAAAGTACAACATTGGGAGTACAGCAGATAATATTGTAAGACTATGTATGGTGTCAGATGGGTACTAGATTTACCAGGTGATTATAAGTTATATAAATGTCTAATCAATGTTGTACACCTGAAACTAATATTGTATGTCAACTGTAATTGAAAACTTAAGAAATTATTTAAATAAATAAAATAATGCACCTGTACAAGAAAACACAAAACAAAAAGTTAACAATTATGTGAAATAGGAAAAGACATGACTGAGATTCAGCCAAAAAAAACAAAAACTTGATTTGAACCATCAATAACTTTAAGAGTTTGAATTATCAGATAAGAAATATAAACTAACTGTATATGAAAATGTTTAAACAAATAAATGACAGTAAAAAATGATCAAGCAATAAGAAACAAAAAAATAAGAATTTTGAAAGATAACTTCATAGAACTTTGAGAAATGAAAATATATAGTTGTTGAAATGAAAAATTAACATGAGGATTAAACAGAAAGTTAGGCAAATCAGAAGAAAAAATTAGTGAATTAGAAGAGAGGTCTGAAAAAAATTACCCCTAACACATGACAGGGAGCTAAGAAAATGGAAACTATGAAAGAGAGGTTAAGCAGTATGGAAGATAAAATGGAAAGAACAAACTTTCAAAAAAATCATAGGAAAAAATATGGATAGTAGAGGGGAGGTAATATTCAAAGAGCTAATAGAGAAAATATTTTCAGAACAAATGAAAGACATCTGTTCACAGAACAGAAAGCACAGAAAAATATCAAGCAGAACAGATAAAGATCCACAGTTATCCATATTATAAGGAAAATGCAGCACACCACCAAATTTAAGATCTTAAATGTTACCACAGATAAAGACAGATGACTGATGAAGAAAATTAAAAGTAGAATAAGAGTAAACCTTTTAACAGCAACATGGAAGCCATAAAATAATCCAATATCTTCAAAATGCTAGTGGTCACTGTAGACCTAGACTTAAACCAAACTTTGAGTAGTTGAAAAATCTTTCTGCAACAAAAACACCAGGCCATATGGTTTTATAAGAATGATGCCAAACTTTCTAGAACAGATTATTTCAATCTTATACAAACTCCTCCAGAGATCACTAAAGGGAAATACTCTCCAACTCCATTTAGATCCTAAAATCAGACAAGAGAAAGGAAAATTATAAGCCAGTCTCACTCATTACATACATACAAAGATCTTTTTAAAGTGTACAGACTGACTGAAGCAATGTATTTCTAAAAGTAGACATCATGCCACGTTGACTTTATCACAGGAATGCAAGGGTGGTATAACATAGAAAATCCATATGTCTATAAATATTCCTTACCTCAGAAATAGATGTGAAAAGAACCTCTTTCCTACAACATCAGCTTTTGTCTCTTATAGTATAATTTCCAACACTCTAATCTCTCTCTTATCTCAAAATATTCCCCAGCCTCACATCACCTAACTGATCAGAACCTCTCGCACAGCCGATCTCTCTCTCCTTCAGATTCTTCCTCACTAGGCTCCTAGGAAGACTTTTTTTTTTCTTTTTTGCTTACCCTGCTACACCACTAGGCAGTTTCTTCTTAATTTCTTCACCAGCCCCTTCCTTCTCTTCTCCTTAATGATCCTGGGGCCCATTCCTTGGTTGTCTGCTTTTCTTTCTCCTCACAGCCCCGGTGATCTCATGTAGTCCATTGGCTTTAAATGCCAATTCCTCACAAATGGGTGTCTCCAAAACACTTCTCTCCTGAACTCAGCCCAGGAATCCAACCACCTACTTGACCTTTTAGCTTGGATGTCTAACAGACACCTTAAATATACTGCCCCAAATTCCTATATGTGCTTAAATTTATTTCTAATGTTCTCCCTATCCTGCCCTAAATTTGTTCTGTCCACAGAACAGCGAATTGTGCTGTGAATTATGGTAGTTCCATCTCACCAGTTGCTCAGGTCAGACTTCTTGGAATCCTCTCTATTTCCTCTTCCTCACTTAGCCCACATCCAGTCTTGTTGGCTTTTCCTTTGAAAATATACCACAGATATGACCACTTCTTACCAACGCTGCTGGTACCACTCAAGTCAAAGCCACCGTTATTTTTTTGCCTGAGTTAGCCCAGCAGCCTCCTAACTGGACTCCTACTGTCTTCCTATCTCACTCAGAGTGAAAGCAAAGGCTTCACACAATTTAGCCGTACTCCGTTACTTCCCTGTTTTCCCTTCTGTCCTCTTTGCTCACTTCACTTCAGCCTTGCCCTCCCTGGACCACATCCTGCAGGTTCCTCTGTGTAGCCTCTTCCCTTTGCCTACAGTGTCTTATCTGTATGACCAATTCCCTCACCTCATTAAAATCTTTGCTCAGTGAGGCATATCCAGCTAATCTACATAAAATCTATATAAAATTCACCTCCTACTGTTACACTCAAAAGAACTCTTACCCTGCTTTACTATTTACCCATAGCTCATGCCACTCTTTAATTCCATGTATAGTTTATTTGTTTTTAATTATGTTTATATTATCTCTGTCCTCTTACCAGGTCAGAGATTTTGGAATAGTGAATAAATTAAAAGGCGTTCAACCTCATTAGTCATCAGGGAAATGCAAAGACAGACCAAAGTGAAAGTCTGTTTCATAATCACTGTTGGTTAAAGGAAAAACAGGTCTGGCAAGTACAAGGATGTAGAGCAACTGAAAGCATCATACACTGCTGGTGGGAGTGTGAGCTGGGATGACCGCTTTGGAAAACACTTAATGCCAACTTGTGAAGTTGGACTCGCGCCTGGCGCAGAGGCTCGGCAGTTCCACCCCCGCGTGCATGCTTTTGAGAAACTCTCACAGTTATGCTCCAGGATCCAAGCCTAAGAACATTCCCCACATCATTGTTCCTAATACAAAAGCTAGAAATAAGTCCACTACCTTTGTAGGGAAACAAATAAACTAGAGTGTAGTCAAACAGTGGTAGTATACAGAAGTGAAAGTGGTCTACAGTTATACACAGTAACATTGATGAATCTTAGGAACTAGTTTTGAATGAAAAAAGTGATTTTCAAAACACTGTGCACAATATCATAGTATGAATTTTATAAAAGCTCAAATCAAGCAAGACCAAACAATATATTATTTGGGGATACATATACATTTTTTAAACTTTTCAAAAATTAAATTACGTACTCGCACAGACAGGAGAGTGTTTACCTTTGGGGAAGAGGCTTGGAAACGAGACAGGAAAGGAACACACGCAAAAATACTACAGCATTGTCAGTGTCGTGGTGAGTGTTGCAGATATTAGGTATAATCTTTTCTACATATCAAATAGTATTCTGAAATAGAGAAAGTAACATGTAGTTCCTTGGCAAAGCCACATCACGGGGGGACGTACACGTACAATGCCCACCACCTTGTCCAGATGTACTGCCAGAGTAACCAGCAAAAAGAAATGTAACGAACTCTGTGTTCCCCTCCCTGTCTTTGTGACTGACCTTTTTTCTTCTTCTTTCCTTCAGCATATCATCTACTCTGTGAAATTTTTCCTTTCGTATGCAATTCCGGACGTATCGAAAAGCACACAGAGTAAAATCAAGAGAGAAAAATACCTAACCCAAAAGCTTCTTCATGAGAATCACCTCAAAGATATGACCAAAAATATGGGGGCCATAGCTGAGAGCATAATAGGAGTCGTAGATAACAATTTACGACCAAAATTAGAATAAGAGCTTTATGTTCTGAGAAGCACTTTAAAGAACTTTGCTCTGTCAAAAAATACTATGAATCTCTAATGAAAATGCTTAAAAACCACACTTCTAAAGCAGAACGGATTCTTTTTCTTCTCTGATGATTTTTAAGGAGTGTTTCATTTTTTCACTTTGCCAACTCTCTTCCAGAGTTATCTTTCCCTTCCAGTGCCATCATTAAAGACGACATGGTAGCTTTTACATGATTAAAAAGCCGCTAACGTGGAATTCAGCTAGAATGCTGTTTTAAGTGGCAAGGAGACTCGAATTCATGCTATGTATGTGTATTACCACATCCCTACAGAAAAGGAAACCTCAGTTAACAGGAAACACTGGCTCCTTTTTGGCCTGTCTTTCCATCTCAGAGAAACACTCTGAATAGAGTGGAATGAAGATAGCGAGTCTCTGAAGCACATTTGTGCTAATCCACAGTGACACCTTGTAGCTTCCAGGAGCAGTCCTAGAATGTTCTGTGCCTAATCAATGCTGACTGCTTCGCAACTCTGAAGGGAATAAGATGACAAAAGCCGGGAAAATTACAGATTCAATAGAATTGTAACTCCCATTGATCAGGATAATTAAATTACCTCTTGTAAAGATGTATAGTTTCTTGAAAAAGAAATGAAATCAAGTAATTAAAATTACATTTCTATCAACATAATGGTCTGAAAAAGATAAGCCTATCAATTCCCCACCAGTTGCCCCTTAATCCATAGCTAAAGTATGTACAGTATTACAGATCAAGCACCACCGCGCATGGCCCTCTGCACAGCCGTGCTGACGTGATGGTTAAGAGAATACCAGGTCTCCTAACCATCGTCCCTGTAGAGGGGGGCACCTTTCGGCAGGGACTCGGCGTGTCCTTGCAATCAGCATCCCGAAGCATCTGCCCTAGCTAGCTCCACTGTGCCCTCCATTCTCCTAGTCCCGACCCAGTAACTTGTTTGCAATTGAATGTTTGCACCAGGGGAGCATTTGTGGGGAGGGAGGAGAAAGACAGGAGTAGATCCATATTATTCCCAGACTCCAAATCTGACTTGCGCTTCCAGCCTCCCTAAGCCCAGTCAGGCATCTAGGGTAAAGAAAAAATGGTCTCAAACCGTGCCATCAGCTGGATGCACCTTCCTGCTGAACTCCTGACTGTGCCTCTCTTGCTCTTGATTTGCTCAGCTGAGCAGCCTTTACAGTGCTTTACTGCCTTTCAGGTGCTAGGCCCTCCGGTAAACTCTGGAGACGGCGTGGGGCCCTCACTCCTCTCCCTTGACTGGTGGCCGGGGAGGGTGCAGGAGAGGGTGTCTGGCACTGGGTTTTTGCTGGACGGGCCGCCACCCACTGGGGTGCTGCTAAATGCCCAAGTGCCATAGGAGCCAAGCTGCTCAGAATCCCAGCAGCAAAAGAAAAGGCAACATGTTTTAGTGTTTAAGGCTTGTTATAGTAGAGTAGTCTAACTCCAGTATTTATATGCGATTCATCAAAGCAGTTTCTGTACTTTTGAATTGTCCCAATGGAGCAAGGACAACATTTCACTAATGTTCTTGATAATGTTGACGATGCAATCAGGCCAGTGCTCGCGGCAGGCTCTCTGAGGTCTGGCTGCGTGGGGAGTGAGAAACGAATTTGTTCCCCGGGCGACCGTTTCTCATTCCACACAGCCTGGGCGCAGGTGCCGCCGTTCCAGTCCCCGCTCACCTGTGATGCGGCTTCCTCTCCAATTACCTCTGCTCTTCTCCGAACTCTATCACTGTCTCCTAGTATTGGATTTGGCAACTGCTCGTTGTGGATGGAAGCATGGAAAAGGAAGTGTTTTTGCCTTATCTCCTTGTATATAAAACTTTAAAAGAATTGTGCACTTCTGTTTTCATAAACCATCTTCCGTACATTGTCTTCATGGTCTAAAATGAACTTCGGTGGACAGGAGGGAAGAAACCCACACTTCTCAAGGCAGCAGATGAGATGTATGACACTGCCTGTGTTCCCCGAACGGCCACGCGGCAGTGGGGGCCCAGGGCGGGCCAAGACCCGACCCTGGGCGGGCCAGCCTAGTGCTGACTTGGCGGCGGTGAAAGCGTGGGGCTGCGTCCGCAGCAGGCGTGGCCGGTCCGTCACTGTGCCGCGGGCTGCACCCTGGGGAAAGGGGCGGTGGGGCGGTGGGCCTCTGAGCCTCTGAGGGGACACCGGCCCGCGCCTGCCCGGCGCTAACCACTAGGGACATTTCCATGCTGCATCCTTTCATCATGCCTGTGAACTTCAACAGAGTGAAGCCTTAGACCAAAATACTCAGGGGATCTTCCTTTAAATATCCCTCATATTGTAATTATGTCAATAGAAGGGGAAAGCTATCATTTTTTGTTTGAAAACTAAGCAAGTCCTTCTTGTAAACCAGTGCCACCAAAGTCTTTCCTTTTAATTGCACATGCATCTTGAATTTCAGAAAACATTAATTCGCAGTACAGAGAGAGAATGTGCTGTTTTTGAAACACTTCTTGTACCATTTTGTCATGTTTGTATTATATTTTAAGATGTTTAAAAAGTTAAAATGTATGAGTAGCTTAACTAAAGTAGAACTGAAATAATAATGCTCTTCATACACTGTGGCATAAGATGTAAAGTTTGTAATGTTTTGTGATTTATGTGCATTTTAATATCCTTTTATAATTATGAGCATTTTAATAAAATCATTTCAAAAACAATACTGTGGTCTACTCTATTTAATTGTCTTAATGTTTCTAAGAGAGCAAATATATACCTGCTACTTACCAATTATCACTCAGATAACAAACGTGCACTTTATATAGATTACATCTAAAATTCTATTTTTTAAACAACCTACATTTACTTTGAAAGATGTTTTCCTGGGAAAAGTTGGGGTGGGGATTCAGCCAGGGCTGCTGCATATAGTTTTTGGGACTGAAGCCTGCCCAGGGCACCAAGCCTGGAGACCAGGTGGGAGCTGAAAACCAGCCCCGCTCTGCTCCCCACGCCAGGCGCAGCCGTGAGCGGCTGCACCGGCTGGGAGGGTGACGTGCTTCCTTGGACTGCGTAAAGGCGGCTTCTGACTGCTAAGCCATGATCACGGGCCAGTGTCGCCCAGAGAGGGCAAGTCTCTGTGGACCCGAAGGTTTTGTTTAGATCATCCGTGGCCCTGGGTGCAAAAAGGGGAAATTACGGAGAATACAGGGTATAAAGGGTAATCTCATTTCAAAAATCAAGTTGTCTTAAAACTCTAGACAATACAAAATCTAGATTTTAACTCACTTCATCCTTTTTTTTTTGATCAGCTTGAATTTTATTAGGCTTCCAATCAAACTATAAGCCAAATATAGTCCATACTGAACAAACGGGAAGAAGCCTTTTCTGATCCCTAAATAATGCTTTGGGGACTGGAACAAATAATATAATTCTTCCCTTCAAGCACTTTAAGTCCAGCAGGGGGACAACTAGGAGTTCATTTCTTAAGCAAAGTACCCTCTTCTCCTGTGGGGGAATGATGAGATCTTAAACACAGTGGTTCCCCCTTATCCACGGTTTTACTTTCCATGGTTTCAGTTACCCACGGCCAACTGTGGTCTGAAAATATTAAATGTGAAATTCCAGAAATAAACAATTTGTAAGATTTAAATTGTGTGCCCCGGGCCATGAATCATTCCTTTGTCCAGTATCTGCACACAGTACTTGCCGCCCGCCCACTAATCACTACGTAGCCGTCTTGTTTATCAGATCGGCTGTCGAGGTATCACAGCGCCTGTGTTCAAGTCGCCCTTATATTACTCAAAGCCCAAGAAGCGTGATGCTGGCAATTCAGCTATGCCAAAGAGCATCCCTAAAGTGCTCCCTTTAAATGAAAAGGGGGAAATTATCAATAAGGAAAGAAAACAATCTATGCTGAGGGTACTAAAATCTATGGTAAGAATGAATCTTTGTCCATGAAATTGTGAGCAAGGAAAAAAAATTCGTGCTAGTTTGCTGAAAGAGACCATATCCAAATTATTATTATATTGTTAAAAGTTCTATTTGATTATTTGTTATTGTCATTAATCTTTTACTGTGTCTAATTTACAAATTAAACTTTACCATAGATATGTATATATAAGAAAAAAACATAGGGCTCGGTAGTAAAAACATAATATATATGTATAGGGCCTGAGACTACCCAAGGTTTCAGGCATCCACCGAGGGGTTTGGAATGTACCCCTTGCAGATAAGGGGGTGCCTGCTGAAACTGGTATTTTGCTCCCCCACCCAGCACCATGTTAGATGTTTACTTATACATACATTATCTCACTGTTAACATGACTTTTTTTTTGCAGAGAAATTTTAAGTAGCTTTTTTCTGAAAAAAGGATTAGAAAAGAAGTGTATGATTATAAGAGAAATACAACATGCTAAAAAACCCCAAGCTGCACAAAAAAGCTGTGCAGAAACCCTCAGCACTACCTCCCCCCAGCCCAGCTCCGCCACTCTCAGGGGTCCCAGGAGGTGTGATTTGGGGCCATCAAGGGCCATCTTTGCCCCAGGCAACTCCAGAGATTTGCTTTGGTTTTTAAAAATTACATTCAGTGTATGAAAGTTGCAGATCAGAAAAGCTAGTTCAGCTTTTCAGTTCAACCCAAATCCTATTCTTTTCATAAAATGAGAAAATTTTCTCACTTTTTAAGGCAACTTTGTTTCTACTTGGAAACTTAATGAAATGCTTTAAAATATCTGAAATAGCAATTATAAATTTCTCTATTCCTTTGCCTTTCTAAGTATCCCAGTTTTCCAACTCACTGTGGCCAAGAGACCATAAGCAAGGAGACTGCAAACTTCTTTTTCCTGCTCTTCTCCTTGGAAGACACCTTTCACAAAGCCACGTAGCCCTTGTTCTCCCTTGTCACCCGTGGTTACTGTGAGACTGAATATACAAGTGGGCGATGGGCAGACCATGTATAAAAATAAAACTCTGACCCACAACCTATAGCAACCAGCCCAGGAAACCAATGCCTTGTCTACAATAATCAGACCACGAAGGCAACCAGACTTAGAGGAAGTCAGACTGTTTTATCTTTAGTGACAGTCTAGGAAGCCAAACAACCTTGAGACAATCAGCCCCAAATGGCCAGGGTTTGATTAATACTGACCGCTTTCCTAATTTTTATCCCTATTTCAACTTCGGACCAATGAGGGAATGCCAAATACGCCTCCCTAAAGAATGACATAGAATGCGCCACTTGCAGTAAACCTGCCCACAGCTTCCCCATCTCAACACCCTCCCAGCAGGAAACTTTCCCTTTTCCCCTATAACGCTTTCCTGCTTCTATTTCTGCTTTGACCCTCTGCCAAAATGCAATTGATGGTGGCTGACTCTGTTGCTATAGGGAGCTCAAAAAAAATAGCCTTTGGTAGGCAGTGGAAAACTATGGAAGATGTCCAAAGGGAAAACTGGAAGCAAGAATCTCATCTTTGTCCCTGATGAAAACTCACTTCCCTAAAATCTAAACTCTTATTACTCTGAGATGTTCAGAAGGTACTTGGACACCTTCAGAGTCAAGGAGTTTGATACCAGTTCTCAGCCAGGGAGGCTGCTTTGCAACATGCCTGAGGCAAGGGAAAGAGTTTGCCTCACCTGGGACCGTTCCCATTCCAGGGGGTATTCAAGCGTAAATTGGCTGGAAAACAATCCTGGATTAACCAACTGTGGCCATGACTATTTCACTTTATTTGGGAATATTTATTTTTATGGAGCAGAAGATTTTGCAAATGTTCTTTAAAAAAAAACAAAAAACAGCATTTGCATTTCCTACCAGAAAACAAAGTAGATGGCCCTTTAAACCCCCTGCCTCATTTCCTTAAACTGTTCAGTCCATGGGATCTTTTGCAATGCTGAAGTGATTTTATTTTATTTTTGTCATTTAACCTATTGGAAGGGACCACCCCCCAAAACCCCTGGCCCTATCCCTCATTTCTCATTCACTCATCTGGGCACTTTGCCAATGACCACACCTAGTTCTTGCAATTAGAACAAATCCACACAAAAACTCTAAAGTAAGTATACTGTGATCCCTAATATTGTTCAGCATGGATAAGCACATTTATGGTTACAAAATACCCTGCCATTACTTTCTCTTCCCTCAGTGTTGCTTGTGGTGACTCAGAGGGATGAGCCTCTATGACCAGTGAGGAAACCACAGGGAAGTTTAAAGGGTGGACCTCACCACTGGGCCTTTTCACTTCTACTCTGTTTTTGAACAGACAAATCCAGTTTTACCTTCAAGTGTGTGGGTCCTTTGGTGCCATCAATGTCTGCTAACCCAGTGCTCTGACTTCAAAATGGAAATTAGAGATCAACCCTTCCTTAAACACTGGCTAGAAAAGGAAGGTGGGAAGTAGTATAGAGTCCAAGGAAAGACACAGTCAGGAAAAAGAACAAATCTCTTAGGGGATTGAGCAAATAGTGGGAGGTTCCGGGTCCCTCCTTTCTACTATGAATTGTAACCACCAAAATGTACTTCATTTTGGTTGCACCCCAAAATACTTAAAAGCAAACACTGTAAGAAGCAGCTCCCAGGAGGTTGTCTCAATTGCCCCTTTCATTGGTGGCAGTGGGTCACCTACAGCCCCAGGTGCCTCCTGGGGGCCCAGAGAGAACCATCGTGCTGATGCTTACCCTTCACTGATGATGAGGTGGAGTGATGCATTTTGGGGACTTCCTTTGCAAGGATATAAATCACTTCATTGCCTTTCTTGTTTTAATCTAGGAGATTATACTGAAAACCTTGAATAAAACTTTTCGCAGGTAACATTCTTTTACATCACTGTTTGAAGCTGTAGCACTTGACCAATGGGAACTGGAATTCCAAACGCTCAATGGTGTCACTCAACATGAGAAAAGGGTCGGTCCTTTCCTGGCTCCTTAGGGCTCTATTCCTGGGTTTTCCTGGGCTCCAGCCCTTTGCATTTGTCAGCCCCGATAATACCACAGTATCATTGTTTTCCAAACCTTGTCCTGATTAACACCCGTTCATTCATGGCCACCTAAGTACTTAATGTTCACACCCCTGCTGTCTGCCCGCTGGTGCACCTAAAGGTAAGAAAGG